CAGTATCTCTCTCTCTGGGTGCAGTCTCTCTCTCTCTCTGGGTGCAGTCTCTCTCTCTCTCTGGGTGCAGTCTCTCTCTCTCTCTGGGTGCAGTCTCTCTCTCTCTCTGGGTGCAGTCTCTCTCTCTCTCTGGGTGCAGTCTCTCTCTCTCTCTCTCTCTCTCTGGGTGCAGTCTCTCTCTCTCTCTCTCTCTGGGTGCAGTATCTGTCTCTGTCTCTCTCTGGGTAGTTAGCAGTCTCTCTGTCTCTCTCTGGGTAGTTAGCAGTCTCTCTCTCTGGGTGCAGTCTCTCTCTCTCTCTGGGTGCAGTATCTGTCTCTGTCTCTCTCTGGGTAGTTAGCAGTCTCTCTGTCTCTCTCTCTGGGTGCAGTATCTGTCTCTGTCTCTCTCTGGGTAGTTAGCAGTCTCTCTGTCTCTCTCTCTGGGTGCAGTCTCTGTCTGTCTGTCTCTCTCTCTGGGTGCAGTCTCTCTCTGTCTGTCTGTCTCTCTCTCTGGGTGCAGTCTCTCTCTCCCTCTCTCTGGGTGCAGTCTCTCTCTGTCTCTCTCTCTCTGTCAGTCTCTCTCCCTGTCTGTCTCTCCCTCTGTCTGTCTCTCCCTCTGTCTGTCTCTCCCTCTGTCTGTCTCTCTCTCCCTCTGTCTGTCTCTCTCTCCCTCTGTCTGTCTCTCTCTCCCTCTGTCTGTCTCTCTCTCTCTGTCTGTCTGTCTCTCTCTGTCTGTCTGTCTGTCTGTCTGTCGGTTAGAGTTAGTCTCCGGGTGACCCCACTCACGGGGAAGCTGTGGAAGGCCGGGCCGGGCCAGCTGCTGCCGCCCTCCTCCTCCCGTCGTTGCTGCTCCCGTTGTTGCTGGGGGTGAAGGCCCCGGAATAGCCAGCCCATCCTGCGCTCCATACACCGAGCCCGCGGCCTGACTGTCACTGCTGCTACCCGAGCCACTTCCGGGATCAGGGGAGGGGCGTGTCACGTGACTCAGCTCCCAGGGGGCATTGCGTGTTTATCTCAGTCCATAGCAGCCACTCCCAGGGCCCTCAGCCAGCCATAATAACAGCCACTCCCAGGGGCCTCAGCCAGCCACAATAACAGCCCACTCCCAGGGCCTCAGCCAGCCATAATAACTGCCCACTCCCAGGGCCTCAGCCAGCCATAATAGCAGCCACTCCCAGGGCCCTCAGCCAGCCATAATAACAGCCACTCCCAGGGGCCTCAGCCAGCCACAATAACAGCCATTCTTAGGGGCCTCAGCCAGCCACAATAACAGCCCACTCCCAGGGGCCTCAGCCAGCCACAATAACAGCCCACTCCCAGGGGCCTCAGCCAGCCACAATAACAGCCCACTCCCAGGGGCCTCAGCCAGCCACAATAACAGCCCACTCCCAGGGGCCTCAGCCAGCCATAATAACAGCCCACTCCCAGGGCCCTCAGCCAGCCATAATAACAGCCCACTCCCAGGGCCCTCAGCCAGCCACAATAACAGCCCACTCCCAGGGCCCTCAGCCAGCCATAATAACAGCCCACTCCCAGGGCCATCAGCCAGCCATAATAGCCCAATCCCAGGGTCCTCAGCCCGCCATAATAACAGCTCACTCCCAGGGCCCTCAGCCAGCCACAATAACAGCCACTCCCAGGGCCTCAGCCAGCCACAATAACAGCCCACTCCCAGGGCCTCAGTCAGCCACCCGCTGACACGGACTACCACTCCCAGGGTCTCAGCCAGCCACAATAACAGCCCACTCCCAGGGCCTCAGTCAGCCACCCGCTGACACGGACTACCACTCCCAGGGCCTCAGCCAGCCATGTGCCATAACAGCCCACTCCCAGGGCCTCAGTCAGCCATAATAACAGCCCACTCCCAGGGGCCTCAGCCAGCCACCCGCTGACACGGACTACCACTCCCAGGGCCTCAGCCAGACATAACAGCCCACTCCCAGGGGCCTCAGCCAGCCACCCGCTGACACGGACTACCACTCCCAGGGCCTCAGCCAGCCATCTGCTGACACGGACTACCACTCCCAGGAGCCTAAGCCAGCCATGTGCCATAATAACAGCCCGCTCCCAGGGCCTCAGCCAGCCATGTGCCATAATAACAGCCCACTCCCAGGGCCTCAGCCAGCCATGTGCCATAATAACAGCCCACTCCCAGGGCCTCAGCCAGCCATGTGCCATAACAACAGCCCACTCCCAGGGCCTCAGCCAGCCATGTGCCATAACAGCCTACTCATAGGGCCTCAGCCAGCCATGTGCCATAATAACAGCCCACTCCCAGGGCCTCAGCCACCCATGTGCTGACACGGACTACCACTCCCAGAAGCCTCAGCCAGCCATCTGCTTACACGGACTACCACTCCCAGGGGCCTCAGCCATGTGCCATGATAACAGCCCACTCCCAGGGCCTCAGCCAGCCATGTGCCACAATAACAGCCCACTCCCAGGGCCTCAGCCAGCCATCTGCTGACACGGACTACCACTCCCAGGGCCTCAGCCAGCCACAATAACAGCCCACTCCCAGGGGCCTCAGCCAGCCATGTGCCATAATAACAGCCCACTCCCAGGGGCGCCAGCCATCTGCTGACACGGACTACCACTCCCAGGGCCTCAGCCAGCCATAATAACAGCCCAATCCCAGGGGCCTCAGCCAGCCATAATAACAGCTCACTCCCAGGGGCCTCAGCCAGCCATAATAACAGCCCACTCCCAGGGCCTCAGCCAGCCATGTGCCATAATAACAGCCCACTCCAAGCTCCTGTCAGGCTGGGGATTATATCACTAGGAGTCTTGGCCACACTCCTGGCTGGCTGAGTACTATAGGAGTTGCAGTCCATCTGAGCAGATGCCTTACATGTCACCCTGGTAGAGAATAGTGGCCCTCACTCAGGCCAAGCTTCACATCACAGGAGGAGGGGGCCTTGTATGTCTTCTAGGAACCCTCATACAGTCCCCTGTACTCACACACCTCAATGGAAGCAGTGGTAAACTCACAGGGTTATTTATTAATAATAATAATACTATAGTAAGAATTCACATTCAAAGTGGCAATGTCACCCTCTGAGGACTTTGTAGAATTTGCAAAGACCCCCGACTGTACCCGTAGCTGGGGATCTGATGGCCGGGAGGGGCAGGAAAGTTAAATGTACACTCTAGGCACCCAGACACTTCAGCTCATTGAGGTGGTCTGGGTGCTGATCCTATTGCATTTAATGCTGCAATGTAAAACATTGCACTTCCAGAGAAACTCTAATGTTTACATTGCAGCTCTAAGAAAACAATCAGTTTTCCTGGCACTGCAGGTCCCCTCTCCCTCTCAATCCCCGGTTGCTGAAGGGAATTGAGAGGGAAAGGGGACGGTAATATAGGCAAGGTAACAGAAGATTCACCATAATAAAAGGTTTAGGCAATATGCACCACGTAGGATTTTTAGTACAAGAAATAAAAAGAAGGAAGCCTATAACGGAGAATTATAGGTCACAGGAAAAACAAAATACAATAGACAGTACTAAAATAGAATTATAAAAGGATAAAATAATCCAGGTAAGTGAGACATTTAGTTTATATGCCGCTTTTGGTTTGCAGGTTTTGGATATATGAATTAGAGTCCTTTAGGATAATTGTAATTATCAAGGGTGTTTGGAATCTCCACGTTGTTTAAATAGTTTTCTGTAAATGTAGTGACAACAAAATATTAAATTGAAGTCCAATAATGTAGAATACAATTCGCATTCGCAAGTTAGGTTACCTCCAAGTGTATCGTTAGAAAGTAGATTTTGCCAAATGTATGGTTAATAAGCAGGTTTTCTCCAAACGTATTAGTAATATGTAAGCTTGGACAGTAGCAGGTTGGAAGAAATACTTCCAGGATAGAACAGGTTTTTGTAGGAGCCAGGATCTGTAGTCTTGCCCTGATCAGAACACAACTACATTCAATGTCAAGGCAAATTGTGTAGCACGGTGTGGCCTCCTATAGCAGGTGAGAGAAAGTTTGTTCAGACTAGTGGCTAGGGAGACCACTAGTGGAGAAAACTGGAACATGTTTTAAAGAAACAGAAATAAAGGAAAAGATCCATAGGTATGTCCCCTCTCGGTCTCTCCGCTCTACTGGTGACCTTCTCCTGTCTTTTTCTCAGTGCTCGCACCCTTACTGCAAATTCATGCCTGCAAGACTTCTCACGGACAGCTCCTTTCCTTTGGAACAGCCTGCCTACCCCCATCAGACTCTCCCCTGCTCTTCAATCCTAAGAAGTCTTTCAAAACCCATCTTTTCAGGAATGCTTATGGCCTCCAAGAGTAACTTCTATCTCTCAAACCTTCCTCTCGCTCTCTCCTATAGGGCCACACTCCACTCTCACCTCCAGTTCTGCTACTTTCCTACCATGTCTATTTGCTGTCTCTCTCAATACCTTCCCACCTCCTCTAGACTATAAGCTCGATTGAGCAGGGTCCTCAACTACCTATTATTGTTCCTGTTACATTTTGTTATTGTCTTATTTGGTAAATTCCCCTTTTATTGTGAAGCGCTGCGGAATAAGCTGGCGCTATATAAATACCAATAATTATAATAACACTCGCAGGTTTGGCTAAAAGATCTCGACCAGTTCCTGATTTCAACAGTCATTACTGAACAAAGAGCCTAAGAATTCTAGATAATTTTGTGGTTTGTAGATATATAAACATATATATATTTTACATTTTAAAAATCGATTTTAAGCAAGTTTAGCACTTCAAATGGCCCATCCAGAATTTCACGAAGAACAGAACTATAATACATATACAAAATAAAGATATCTGCTATGAGAAACAGTACATCATTATAATAAGTCGATGGTATTTATTCTCACAACACAGATAAAGCTGTGAATTACAATTCTTTATTCATGTGTCGGTAGTAAATACAAAATGATTACATACATGGTGTTGTCAGTGTTAGTGATCCCATGATGCTCAGTGAGTCGCAGTGAAATGATCTGTTACTGTGTTAGAGTGTTGGTAATCTTACAGACATAGGGATCTGCAACACATAGCATTGTAAAATGTATCTGGGTTTATCTGTGGCTTTAAGGCCCACGCATTTTACTTGCTGGTGTTAAAAATAAATCTTTCATTTATTGTTAGAAAATTTTGCTCGGAAAACACGCGTTTCCCATATTCACAGCTGTTTTAATTTGTAGTAGATGCAGATCACTATAATTAATTACACTACAAAACTCTAGAGTGATAATGCAAAATATTAAAATAAGAGGGAGACGGAACCCCTAGGACAGGTTTAAACATTGATCACCTGGAGACCTTACAGACCCTGAGTTTGTATTGACATTTTGAAATAAATATATAAACATAAGCAGAGTTATTCACTAAAGTATAGACTGTCAGGAATTAAAAGTGAATTTAAAACATGAGGCAAAAATAGCCAAACTGTAAATAATTCTCCAAGTCAGCTATGTTTTTAATTAAGTTATTTTGGCCTGAAATTTTACATTCAATTTAAATTCCGACACTTTAGTGAAAGTGTGCAAATGTATTTTCCAGCCAGTAACAGACCTCATAGCAGCAAATTGGTCAGATGGAGATGTTCCTGTGTTTTATTTACATATAAACTCAGTTTTTAATGTTCTAAAACATTGATTATATCAATAAACATAGTCCTTCGTATAGACAACTTATAGTGTGTGTCTTTTTAAACTGCAGATTTGAAATCTCTGTATCTTTCACTCTGTTAAGAAAACCTATTCTAATCCTACATTACTTGGATTGAATAATAATAAAAAATAAAAAAAAAATACTCCCCTATAGAAAATGCATATGCCTAATGTCTTAGAAATATATTGACCTCTGAAAAACCTTTGCAATGGATTGAGGCAAACTATCTTTCTTAACAAAACATTACTTTTTTTTCCAGGAAGGAAGGAACAAATGAAAATTACTACTTTTAACAACATGAACCTGCTGTATGTTAAACAATAAAATGGGAATTATAGACACCATAACCACTAAAGCAACATGTAGTGGTTATGGTTCCGGAATCCCCTGGTACTGTCCCACTGTTGATGTGGTTCAACATCTGTCCCTTTTCATAAGTATCATAAAAGCAGGCGTTCGATTCGGCATTTCGATTGCACTCATTGGCTGAGAGTGTTAGCTGATACTCTTCAGCCACTAAATTCCATCGAAACTTGAGCAAAATTGATACTGCTAAAGAATAAGCTGAACATCTGCTTTAGTGACATTTCAAAGAAGGACCAGGCTGCAGGTGGCAGTGTGCCCCAAGCAAGTGTTAAGTTTCAGTATTAACAGAAGGATAGAGCCAGGGGACTCATGGCACCATAACCATTACAGCAAACTATAGTAGTTATGGTGCTTAGAATGCCCATTTAAATATACAATCGAAAACATTTTGGGGTATACATCGAATACATCGATAACATTTTGCCTACCTTCCAGCTGAGCTGCATAATTTAGACAATACTCTCAAACAGAATTATTTATTAAAGTATGAATTGTCGAGAAGTTCAAATTGAATTGCAAATTTCAGTCCAAAATAACCAAGCTTGGCCAATGGTTTGAGTAGGTCATGTTTGTTTAATTTGGCTTTTTTTTGTTTTTTCACTTTAAAGTTTATTAAGTTTTCATAAGTTTGAGAACATCTTCCAGGGTACAGAGGATTAGTTTGGCTATAAAGTCCTAAAAAGCAAAAATTCTGCAGCTCAGCTTGGATTCCTGACAATTCACCCTTGGGTTAATAACCCTGACAGTCAAGAATTTGTTTTGACATTTTAACTATGGTTTCACCTTTCTGTAGTGTTTGTGTGAATAATATTCTATAAGAGAGTAATGTGACGGCATCCTTATAGTATGTTGTACAATATTTGGCTATGTGCCTTTGGTTACAATGTAGCTCATTTAATAGGATGTTAGATTTCTGTAAGGGTGGGGTGGGAATTATATCTCAGTGACGTCGGTAGGCTGGAATAGAGGAGAGTTGCAGTCATCATTCAGTAGCACAGCCTGTCTGAGGATAATGGGAGCTGCATTCTGCAGGAGTTGATTTACCAGTTGCCTGTCCCTGTTAGAGCAGTCAGACATTGTGTACTTGTTAAAAACACAATGAGCACAAGGGGACGATGGACTGTACAGCTTTGGAAATTGTGTTCTTCTCTATGGATAGGAACCAGTCAGGCTTAGTTCACGGTCCTTGCGTTAGAGTGATTGATGTCAGACCCCGATAATTGGGGCAATTATCTGTCCACTCCATTCAACACATACATACATTGCAATCTAGACAAACAACATGTAAAGATGGATGTCTGCCTTGCAATAGTCCTGGGCTGGAGCATGATTGGAAGAAACATCCTTTGTATCCAAGTGTGGTTTAGTGTCCCTTCCTCAGTGCTGGTTTTGGAGGTTGTAGTTTTTCGGAACTCCTGTCTTTTCGTTCAGTATCTGAATCGGAAGACTCCTCGGTGCCACTCTGTTGCTTCTGCCACATGCCAGCATATATGCCCCCTTTAGCTATAAGTTCGTCGTGCCTAGAAGACAAGTCCATAAATAAACATGGGATGCCCTGAGCAGATCCTCCAAACATTTTAGATTTAGAAGTTGAAACAGAGGTATCTACTAACCTCCCCCCCCCCCACCCCTCCATCACCCCTCTCCAGCCCATCATACAGTGACTTCCAATCAGACAGTGTGTAATAGCATTTAATTAATCAAACAAGAATGTATTTACCTTCCTCTCTCCATGATCTGCCCGTCTTTAAGAACCAAGATTTGATCAGCGTTTATCACGGTTGAGAGTCTGGAAAAAAAGAAAAATGTAATTATGTAGGTTGTAAAATAAATTTTTCCTTCTACTCTGGTGATCAGCAACATATAAATTTTTAAAAAGCGACTCATTGGAGAGTTTTGCATGGCATAAAAGAGGACTAAAACTCACAAGGCTGCCAATGAACAGTCTAGCAAGGCTGCCAATGAACAGTCTAGCATCTAATGCAAATTACTGGTTTCCCATGATGCAGTGTGGGAACTCACACGTGCACACCCTGCATTATTAAAGAAATGTAAGTGTTAGAGTAAGCTTTAGTGTTTACTGGGCTGAGTGAATGCATAAATGTCAGATCCTCTTTAAATACCCGGGAATGCAATATTCACATACAGAGATTGTATAGAATTTGGTTTTAGTGAGACACGTTTTGCAAATGTGACACGAATAGTATCTGTGTTCCTCTATTAAATGACTACGGTCAGAAATTGTGGAACTGTGTGATAGATGTGCCCAAACACAAAGTGATGTAAGTATTGTTCAGTCATTTTGTTGCAAATGATGTATTAAAATAAATAAAAAGATTTTTAGATCGCTTTATTGCTATACATTTCCTGCTATCTTGTATCTATGTTATCTGCACTGTGCAACAAATCACAATACAAACAGAGCATTGCAATTTGAGAATAAATAGTTGTGATTTAATGTAATGTATCAATTCTATTTAGAGATCTTTATTTTTTATCCTGAACTCTGAGAAAGTTTAAGACAAGTTAGGAGGAGATTTCCAAATTCTAGATTTAAATAAACTTACCGATGTGCCACCACAACTGTAGTTCGATTAGTACAGACCCTGGCCAGAGACGCTTGTATATTGCGCTCGGTTTCTGTGTCTAGAGCAGAAGTGGCCTGTAGAGAATTGAAATGAGAATATTACTAGTGAGCTTGGCACCAACACAAGGAATCGGTCTACAAAATAGGGCTATTCATTAACATTCTGTCATTTCCTTAAATCCTAGAAAGACAACCTGGATATCACCATCCATTCACAATCTGTGTTTCCTTTTGCTAAATCACAATCTCAGAATTTGGTGGGCATGGAGATAAGGAGGGAAACTAAAGAATATCACCATCCATTAAGAGTTTGTTCCATTACTTCCTTCAATCACAATCTGGGAAACTGGTGAATACAGAGATCTACCAAATTTTAACACCAAACCAAATTCTGTGCTATTCCATCCATTTCAGAGAACCAGTGGGCAATGAGGCATTAAGAAACATTAAGATGTGTTCTATGCCTTAAAGTACTCATATAAACTGGGAGGCACTAAGACAAGCAGTGGATCTACAGAAAAATGACATCGAACCATATTATATGTCATTCCTTTCACCACATTCAGAGAACCAGAACCAAAGAGTTGGGCATGTGAGAAGATTCGAAGACCTGAAGGCATTATCAGTTCGGGACAGGGAGAGGTACACTCAATGATGGTTTATCTGGTTGGAATTTTTATCCTCTGCCAAATTTGCAAGATTCTTAACTGACACATACACCGGGGTTGATCTGGACTGAGGGGCCTGGCATGAGGGATGGAAGGGCAACTGACCACAGATTGTCACTCAGGACAGGACCCTTTACCTGCTTCCCCCAGATTTTACAACACACCATTAGATCCAACTGCCACACGCCCCCCTTCCAAGCCCTGTCTCACACATTCTACACCCCTCCCCCCATTTTTTTCTCTCTCTCTCTCTCATCTTCCTCTCTTCTCTGCTCATGCTTCATACTCTATAATGCTGATCTTTGCTTTACTGAGGCTGCTCAGCTGTTGCCCTCGCGATCCTAATGATTGAATCCCACCCTGTCTGAGAGGTCTTACGCATCAGGATTGCATTACTTACTTCCTCTGCGCAGGCAGATTGTGGTTTGTGATGATACCAATAAAAACTATTTAACACAATCAGAGAACCTGGTACCAAATATTATCAAGACACAATATCATTTTACCAAGCATTATCTTACAAGCACATTCTATGCACAATAAACTGGATACATCACCTCATCCAGTAGAACAATCTGCGGGCCTTTCAGGATGGTTCGAGCAATAGCGACTCTTTGCTTCTCTCCTCCACTCAACTTCAGTCCTCGTTCCCCTACTTGAGTGTCATAACCTGCAGAAAAACCACAAGAAAATATATAACGGGCAACAGGTAGTGGTTGGCTGTTGTGGAACTAAAATCTCTAGGAAATAATAAAATGTTTTGTAAACGGGTAAATTACACACCAACAATCATAATCTAAAAGCTCTTGCTATACTCTCATTACACTGCCCGAACAGAGTTGTTCGTCTTTAAAATTTCCCTATTTTCAAATGTAATGAATGTTCTTTGTTCCAAAAACGCACACAGAAAACTGTATACGAGTTAAAGGCGAGTACAACCGTGAGCACTGACAACTTAATAGAACCACCAGCCATTAATGAGTTAAACTGTTCTAGAACCCTGTTCTCCACATAGTCGGAGAACCAAATTAATAGAATAGTACCAAGTACTACATGCAAAGAGACAGAATAAAAGATCGTTTTTATTTAATGATGACACAATATTTTGTGCTAAAATGTTGTAGGTACCAATGATGGTTTATCTGGTTGGAATTTTTATCCTCTGACAAATTTGCAAGATTTTTTGGACAAATAAACATTTTCAGACCCTCCGTATTATAACCACCTTCTGGTATATATAATTTTCAGACCCTTCATTTATAAAAACCTGCAGCGGATTTGAAATCTTATTTTAGGCATTGTCTTTGCTGTACAGCTTTTGTCCTTCAAATGGTTTATAATGATATTTGGTTTTATTGCATTGTCTGTATTGAGATAGATTTATTCTGTCTTTGTGGCTGTTGTGATTACAAGAACCAAACCCACACAGCAGAGGGCAAGGTTCCGGACTAGTCAAACTTCTTCCTGATCAGGAGACATTTTCTTTGTCTAAGAGTTTCAGATTTAGAATCTTTAAATAAAAAGTATTTTTCTTTCATTTATTTAATTTATTTATATTTTTAATGCACTAAATAAAAATGCTTTAAAAACTGTGATTTCAAAATTTGTAGAAAGGAAATACTGCTGTGTGATGCTATATTAACTGATGGACCTTTTGATATATCTCTGTATTCTTATACATACTTAAATAAAGAGTTTAAAAAAAAAAAACAACAAAAAAAAAAAAACACAGAACATGTTGTACAGTGAGGAAAACAAGTATTTGATCCCCTGCTGATTTTGAATGTTTGCTCACTGACAAAGAAATGATCAGTCTATAATTGTAATGGTAGGTGTATTTTAACAGTGAGAGACAGGATAACAAAAAAAAAATCCAGAAAAACGCATGTCAAAAAAAAGCTATAAATTGATTTGCATGTCAATGAATTAAATAAGTATTTGACGCCTTCGACTTAGTACTTGGTGGCGAAATCCTTGTTGGCAATCACAGGTCAATCAGGTCAGACGTTTCTTGTATGCTTGAATAGAGCTGGATTACATACTATGGCCTTGATTTAATAGTTTTGGATAAATATTTATAATTTTTTTTTTTTTTTTAATTGGATTTGTTTTTATATACGGATACATTTTTCTATATTATTTTTTTGTTATCTTAATATTTTATAAAAAGTATTCTAAATATAAAATCATTTGAAAAGCTTATCCAAAATGATTAAATTGAGGCCAGTGTCAGATAATCATTGTACAGTATGGCGAACGTTGCATTTGGCCATTTATATCTGCAGTGTATCCCTGGATTTAGTCACCATCACTCAGAAAATGAAGTTAGTACACCACTGATCGATTACCCATAGCACACTTTGCAGTAAAAAAAAAAGCAAGAGCTAAGCAGCTGTGAGGGAGTTACTTACCATCGCGGAACGAGACGATCCGATCATGGATGTCTGCTGCGATTGCTGCCTCTTCCACCTCCCGGTCTGATGCACTGACACGCCCATAGCGAATGTTGTTACGGATTGTGTCATTGAACAGCACAGTGTCTTGCGGCACCACCCCAATGTGAGCGCGCAGGGATGCCTGCAAAACCTAAAGGCAGAAGGTGGAAATCATTCACTTAACCGGAGTTAATTGCTGAATTGGGAATTGTATAGAATTGAAATAAATCGAAGGCTAAATCGGCTAAATCGAAGGCCAAAGAACCCAAGCAGGAAGAATGTTTCCAATTTTATACCAAAAAGTTAGGAATAAATACCAAATTCCAACAAAGTAAGAAAGTTTCTTTCTTCAAACACAATTTGCTACCAATAGAAGAAAGATGTAACAGACCCCACTATACCCATTGGCACAAAAATTAAACAGCAGAGACAAACCCTCCCCACCCCGTTGTAGTGGATTGCGTATTATTGTTGCGTATGATGCATACATTTTATACATTGAATTATCCATTGATTTGAGATCCCATTCTCACATGTTTGGCTATGTAAGTTAAAAAATGGTAATTTAATGAAAGGTTCATATAGCTTACACTTACGAGGTAGATAAAATGAGTAGCGTTAAATTAGGTAATAGTAACATCCCCTGGATGTTGGGCAAAAATAACATGCCCAGGACGTCCTTTAAAACCAGAGTAATCTGAATGTCCTTTCTTGGTTAAATACTTTGTTATTATTATTATTATTTTCACCATCTATAAACGATTTGTATGTACAGATATGATAAATATTATTTGTGGTGTTCTTATAGCGCCAACTTATTCCGTGGTGCTTTACAATAATGTTGACATCTTTGAGTCTATAAGAATGTCCACCATTTAATGCACTTCTTATACAGATGTTTAAATGTATGTGATCCTCTGATTCTTAGTCTCTCTGTTGTCTGACTTAATTTAGTTATTTCTTGCCCCCTTTCATTGATCACTATCAGAATCTATTTCTGATATGTAGAGCATCCCACGCCCCCTCTCACTGATCAGCATATCAATTGTGTCAAGTTACTAATGTCATATTTCATTATATTGATCATACATATTGAATATATGTCATCTTTTAATATGTATTGTAAGTCCAGTACAAAAAGTATCACTGCATAGTGCAACATTCTTCAATTACTAGACTAGCAAGGATACTTCGGTTTGTTTGTCTCTCTATATCTTGCGATGTTTGGAGCAGGTTACACTTACAGTACAAATGTCTTGGCCATCCACACGAATGCTTCCTCCTTTGACATCGTAGAAGCGGAATAGGAGCCGTATGACGGTACTCTTTCCACTGCCAGAGGGACCGACCTAGTGAACAGGAGGAGAGATTTTCTCATTAATGGTAAGTTTACATTGTACTGTATAGTGAAGCTATACATTGATAATTCCACACAAAATTCTACAAATCCTCAGTATCCAGTGTATGAAATAGGAGGGACTGACTTCTCCACCTCCAATATGTAGGCATTTGACAGCCCCGTATGAAAACAGGTAACAAAACAGTATGGATTTCAAAATATTTCATTTTGGTATTTCCCCAACAATTAATATATTCACTAAAAAGGAGTATTTTTGAGGAATTCAAAGTGCTTTTCAAATTTAAAGTAAAAGTAAAATAACATTATTTGGGGAAAAAAAGTTAGCCTTTCCCAGCTATTTTGATCTAAAATTCAAAATTCACTTATAACAAACAATATAGTTTACCAGCATATTCCCAGTTTATAGAAATGAAGAACCCAGTGTTTATTGCAGGAATGCTGGTGAAATAAAGTACAGTATCATCTATCTGATTAAAGCAGAGTTGGGCTATAGCAGCCATATATCTGGCTGAGTATCATGGAGTTGTAGTCCAGCTGTAGAGCACCATTACCCAATATGTATCCAAGATATCTGACTGAAAAAGCTGAAAAATCGCTCACCAGTGCAACAGTTTGCCCTGGCATCACGGTGAACGAGACATCACGGAGGATTTCCTTGCTTGTACACAGAGAAAAATAAGATGCAATTAGTAACACATTCATTATAGGAGGGGGAAATAGTATAATGAGGGGGGAACAAGAAGCACTTAACCAGGAGAGGCACTTTAAAAAGTAATATCTTTAAAATGTTTGCATTGCAACATAGTACACCAGTTAATTACATTACACGGAATCTTTTAATTTAAAATCAAATAAAAACACAATGACCGTGTGCCTTGTAAAGCTACGGTCCATAATTGGATTGTTTTAGACAAGACAAAACCCATGGAAAACAAGTAGCTGTGTGCAAAGGTTGTGCAGCACGGAGTACATGAGGTTCATTCTACAAAACCTACTTGGATTTGTTTATACATTGAACAGATTTCAACTTTAACCAAACCAAACTCTAACTAAACGTTATACTTGGAAAGAACCCTAAGGCCACGCTTATCAACTGACCTTCTGACCATGTGACTCTACAGACAATCTCTTTCAAAATATTTAATTTTGCTGAGATTAGGTCGGGGGAATTATCTTTGAAGTGCCAAAATAAAATATTTCTAGGGACCTAAACACATTTTTAGAACAATATAGAAAAGGCTGTATTTTTATTTTAAAAAAAAGTGACTTTTTACTTTATTCCTTTATGAACAATTCCCAAAGATACATAACAATAATTTTACAATATTCAGGATGCATTTAATTAAAATTAAAGAACCACTATCGTCACCCAGACCACTTCATTTCAATGATGTGGCTTGGATGTAGTGGTCCTGTAGGTTTAACAATGAAATGTAAAACATTGCAGTTTTGTAGAGAAATGTTTACATTGAAGGGTTAAGCACACCTCTAGTGACTGCCATATTGATTTCCCAACACTGACCGATAAAAACTCATGTAACTGCAGCTCCCATATGAAAGCATTGATTCATTCTTTTCTCTATGGGAATTTGAAGTGCTTGTGGTGCTCGAAACTCATGCACATCAGCTCCCTAATGTTTCTCTAAGAAGAGCATTGGATTGGACTAACTCCAAAGCAGGTCATACCTCCACGATAGCACAGGATGAGAGCCTTCAAAATAATGCTTTTGGACAAGAATCACCTTTAAAGATACCATTCAGCAAGGTACCAAAAAACCCCTAAATAAACAAACAACAACTGACCGAGTTAAGAGACTTGGAGAAAATGGCTTTCGGGTACAGTAAGGGCCTTCTATAAGTCTGTTCCATTACTGTGTAGACACAGAGAACTTGGGGAATTTAATCCAGCATTAAAACGATCACAAAGATCTGATCCATGTAATCAAACACCAATGAAAACATGCTACATTCACGAGTCACGCCACCTATCTCCCGTGTTTCTCACCCATCCACATAGCTGAAATGGACGTTTTCAAATTCTATTTTTCCAGCGTGGAACCTCAGCTCTGGAGCATTTACCATATCCTGAACCTGAAAGAACGAAGGAAGACAGACACTATATTTGTCAAAGTGAATAGTCATTTCAGAACATTGTGGTAGGTGAGGCTTTTCTGAAACTAGCCCTAAATTAAAAAACAGCTGCTTCAAGTAAACATGCTACTGTAAATCAAATTAACACGGATGTGCACAGGATAAAAAGAGACTGGGGGTTATGCCATCATTTAAACACCTTTTAAGCATTCATTTTATTTTAAAATATTCTGTTCTAATAAGTTATATCATTAATAACTAATTCTGAGAAATAATAATTAATTTACCTATGCCAGATGTTGTACCAATCAAAATAGTAAGGGGAGATTAAAGATAATTCGTAGTCATGTGACTCATGCAAATGTGCCAATTGGTTGAAAGGCTTTCTTGGCCCAGCAACAGAATAAAGCTTTTTAAATTTCATGGAAATAGTTCTACAAGTTTAACAGTGTCAATGAAGGGATAGAATGACAGATCTATGCTGCTAAAGATATGATTGCAACTGAGTAATATTTTATCTGGTTGAAATAATATCTTAGGCCAGCTGGGCCAACCCCTAGACACACTGACTGTACCGTTATACACACCTCTAGTTCTTCTCCAAAAAGCTCAAACATATTCTCCATGTCAATGAAGGAATTCTGTATCATCCTGCAGAGGAGATAAATTACTGATTGTTATACGGGAACCAATATCACCTTCTGGTCTTCTTCAAGTCTTAAGTATCATTTTGTCACAAAGGAAGCTGAGAAGATCTGTGCTACAATGGGGATCTCTCACCTTCAGCTGTCCCATACTCACGTGGATGAACATTGGTATCTGTGACAAAATGCCTTTTGTCACTGGATTGTTAGGTGACAAGCTGCCCTATGCCCCCGGCTGTTGGAGGAGCCTGATTGCCAGCCTCCTTCCTCATTACTATGGCCCTGGGGTGTATTGCCATTTAAAAAGACTATTTGAGGCTTATTGGCTTCTAAAGACGGTTTCTGCCCATTTGAATCTGTGGGAAGGTGTGTTTCTTCCCCTCCCTAGTTTCCTGTCTATTGTTCTCCAGCAGGGCGTTGTCCCAGGCACACTGCCAAACCAGTTGGAACTGACTGCTTTGTCCCTCCTTGGTTTCTCAACAGCCCTTGCTATGCTTTACCCCATGGCAAATTTACTCTGTTCATGGGATCTGAGCGCTGTTCACCTAGATTGGGCGCTCAGATCCGAGCTATCTGGGTATAGGTTAAATGTGGGGGTTCTGTGTAATATAATAAGAATTATGTATTTTTATGTACTTTTACATATTTTTGCTGTTATTGTAAAATGTAGATATTTTCTGTACCTGGAGATAATTGAGATTACTGCAGTGCCTTAAGCCAATTATCTCCAGGATGGAGAAGAGGGATTTCATTGTGTATGTGGGAGTGTTATTATGTTAATTAGTGTTCCCATTGGTTTGTGTCCCTTTTGTCACAGTTTACCACCAGGTCCAGGGGGTGTGCCTCTGGCCTGAAAACTTGTATATAAGGAGTAATAAACGCTCATTGGAGTCAGATCATCTTGTACCTTCATGAAGTTTCGGCTCATGTTTGTGGATTGGAGAACTACACTCTGGGGATTACTATAATCACTATACTTCCCAGGGTATGATCACTAAGCTCTGCTAATAGCTTGTTCCTGTTCCTGCTCTCTGGAATTCGGAGAGGTTAACCTACTGGAAGCTGGACCCTGGTCTTGGGTCCAGAGTGGGTGGAGACGGCGAGACCCCAACGAAGCTGCAGCGGTTCGTGGGAGTCTACAGTGGTTATTGTGTCTGGCGGAGTGCTTGGAATCCTCAGAAAGCACTAGGAGCATCCGTCAATGGAAGGTACCCAGTCGGGGTGCCAGCGGTTCCGTTACAGTATCAAAGAAGATTCTTTGAGATAGGTTCACCAATACCATCAGACATCTGCATAAACAGCAACCAATGAAGGAGAAAAGATGTTTGACGCTTGTGCAAAGATTTTTAAAAAGAGTTGGGTTTGTCCTGGACTTGGTCATTCTGCTACTACGGCTTTTAGTCATGCAGAGATTTCTTTTTTATAATTATATTATTTAAGAATGCTTATATACAGATTGCAGTCATTTAAAGTTATATTACAGGACAGAGTATGTTACTAATCAGTAAGGTACACACAGTAAGGGAAAAAGTATTTGATCCCCTGCTGAGTTTGAACGTCTGCCCACTGACAAAGAAATGATCAGTCTATAATTTTAATGGCATGTGTATTTTAACAGTGAGAGACAGAACAACAAAACAAAATCCAGAACAACGCATGTCAAAAAAGCTATAAATTGATTTGCATGTCCATGAGGGAAATAAGTATTTGACCCCTTCGACTTAATATTTGGTGGCAAAACCCTTGTTGGCAATCAGAGTTTAGACGTTTCTTGTAGTAAAAGACATTTGTCTTTTATACAGGTAACGACCTCGTTACCTGTACAAAAGACACCTGGGAGACAGAAATCTTGCTGATAGGGGATCAAATACTTATTTCACTCATTGACATGCACATCAATTTATAACTTTTTTGTTTTTCTGGATTTTGTTTTTTGTTATTCTGTCTTTCACTGTTAAAATACACCTACCATTAAAATTAGAGACTAATCATTTCTTTGTCAATAGACACACGTTAAAAATCAGCAGCAGATCAAATACTTTTTCCCCTCGCTGTATACATTCATTAAAGGACAAGTGGAATAAAAAAATCTGTAAGATACAGAGGATGAATATTTGGCTGTGGTCAGGGTGATGGATACACAGACGAGAAGCAGGGAATAATGGAATGGGGGTATGGACAGATGTAATAGGCTGAAAGTGACTAGTGAGAGCTATGAAAATTCAAGCTTATACAGTGAGGTGTGCCATCAGGCGTTTGTGAAACGGTAAGAGAGAGGTGGCTGATCGGATGAATAGGAGGTGGTTGTATTAATGGGTGACCTGGAGTGGAAATGAATGTAATTGAGACCTGCTTAGGGGTAGTCTAAATGGTGTGAAAGAGAGAGAGAGAAAGCGAGAGAGTGGAGTGGTAGGACATGGGGTATTATCAGGATACAAGTGAAGAGAGACAGGAATGGAGTGAGAGAGTATTCAGAAGGCCATGCAAGAGATAAGTGAGGAGTTTTGAAGTAGAGAAGGTGAGAAGCAGACAGATTGTATATTGAAGAGTTAAAGCGACAGACAGAATAGTGTATTAATGCTTATTAAAGAGTAACGAAGAGTCAGCAGTGGCAGACACCATGAGTATTGAAAGTGAGTGTGAGACGATGACAGGATGATGGAGTAGAATGGGTGGTGGAGGAGTGGGTGAAGGTGATGGAGTGGGGTTAGAAGACTACTTTTATATCCAGGAGATATGATTTACATACAATGCCAAGGCAGGATATTAGCTTAAGATTTACCGGCCTGTAAACAAATCAAGCAGACTCAAGACATATATTCTACCTTTAACCCCCGGCGGCCCTCGTATGGAGAGAAGTTATTACAATTAGCTATATATTTAAAACAATGTGTCCTGTCGCCTTACCTGTAATAGGTGCCAAACCAGTTGAGGGGTGTATACAGCTGGATTATGTATGTTCCAAACAGCACATAATCGCCCACCTGGGGGGATTAGAGTGAGGGCATTTTAAAATCAAAATCATTATCACCACCTAATTTTAGACAGGGGTTTTCTACCCAGGGTGAACTGAAAGCAGTCTAACTCAAGATCATGAACTAAATTGGTATCAGATTTTACTATAACCCGACTTAATGGAACTCAACTTATCAACTTTGGAAAGATGACATCACCAATAATCAAATCTATGACCTTGAGTTTTGGACTGCTTCCAATGTTACATAAAACAAACTCAAGGGGTCAAATATCTCAACACAGAAATATAGCAGAAAGCGGATACCGATCGCAACTCACTTTAAATTTGTTCTCCGTAACAAAATATGCAGAGAGTAAAGACCCGGCCAGTAACCCAAGTCCGATGATAAGGTTCTGTGTCTGGTTCAGCATAGCAAGCGTAGCGTTAACTTTCCATTCTGACACCTGCAGGAAAAAAAAAAAAATTCAAAAAAAAAAATCAGGGATCAGAATACTGGTGTTATCAGCAGCTAAAAAGGTACCATAGGAAGTAAATCACACAACAACAGACATCATAAGAGACAGGAAATCATAGTTTGTGGTTCTAGCATTTCCTACCTGGTATTTTACAATCGCCTCATTAAACCTGTTCACCTCGTAATCCTCTGCGTTGTAATATTTTACCTGAAACAATACAGACAGAAGTGAGTGTCACAGCAAGCCACCACCAGTAAGCACTAACTACATTGATTGTGGTCACAGTGCTTTAATTGCACTGCACCAGCACTGCACCAGATCCCAACAAGATTCCAGCCAGGTCCCAACAAGATTCCAGCCAGGTCCCAACAAGATCTCAGCAAGATCCCGGCCAGGTCCCAACAAGATCCCGGCCAGGTCCCAACAAGATCCCGGCCAGGTCCCAACAAGATCCCGGCCAGGTCCCAACAAGATCCCGGCCAGGTCCCAACAAGATCCCAGCCAGGTCCCAGAAAGATCTCAGCCAGGTCCCAGAAAGATCTCAGCCAGGTCCCAGAAAGATCTCAGCCAGGTCCCAGAAAGATCTCAGCCAGGTCCCAGAAAGATCTCAGTCAGATCTCAGCAAAATCCAAGCCAGATGCCAGCCAGGTCCCAGCCAGATTCCAACAAGATCCCAGAAATATTTCAGCCAGGTCCCTCCAGATCCTAAAAAGATCCCAGAACGAACTCAGCAACATCCCAGCCAGCTCCCAACAAGATCCCATCCAGGTCTCAGCCAGATCCTAGCAAGCTCTCAGCCAGGCTCCCAACCAGGTCACAGTAAGCGCTCAGCCTGGCTCCCAACCAGGTCACAGTAAGCGCTCAGCCTGGCTCCCAACAAGTTCCCAGGTACCAGCAAGGTCCCAGCCAGATTAAAGCCACATCCCAGCAAACGCCTAGCCAGATCCCAGCAAGCTCTCAGCCAGGCCCCAACAAGATCCTAGGTCTCAGCCAGATCCCATTTAGATCCCAGTCAGATCTCCAGCAAGCTCTAAGCCAGGTCCCAGGTAGATCCCAGCAAGCTCTCAGCCAGATCCCAGCAAGATCCCAGGTCCCAGCCAAATTAGGCCCAGTGAGTCACCGTTTCGAAGTTGAGTAAAGAGTCCACAGCTCTGGACTTGGCTTCGTTGTCGCTGGTGTTCATTTCCCTCCGATACTTGGTTCTCCATTCAGTGATAATAATGGTCAGGGCTGCCAAGGAAACAGAAATCTGAAATTAGTTTATAATAGGATAGGGCAGGAATTGTAACAGAAAAAGGGAGTACAACATTTTATTTCATATTACAAATCACATATGGCTTTATTTTATATCCATTTGGTTTAAGGAATTGTATCTTCATATAAATAACAATGAACCATGGCTAAGATAAAATAATGCCATTTCTGGAGAGAGATAATAAACTACAAGACAGAAGGTAAAGTCTCCAACCCTCCTTGATGTAATTTTTTCCAAATTTACACACTCTTTTCCATCGTTTCCAAGAGTTACTCAGTGTTTTAAAGTGGTGATGGTGCTTGGAGTCTGTATGTGCAGCGTATTAGTTTGAAACATGGCATAGAACAGCTTGCTGGCAGCAGTGTAACTGCTTTAAATGACTTTAAGAAAAATAGGGTTAGATTAGGTCTAGAGTTCATTAAAGGGAAATTATGAAATAAAATACCCCTCCCCCCCCAATTTTTAACACAATATAAAAATAATGCTCTAAAAAGTAAAAATAAAACGTACATGTGAAAAACGTTCTCACATTTAACGTTTCCCTCAGAGCACTATCCCCTCTCTCCCATAAATCCTTGTACATTTAGGATGTGTGGACCTGCCCTGTAAGGGACCGCTAGTAGCCCATTTAACTGTTTTAGTGTGTATTACACTGGCTATCATAAGTTTTTGGCAGTGCCTTGTGAACCAGCTCGACGCCTTCTCCTGGTCGTAGAAGGAGCTAAATACAGGCTGTGCATGTGAAGGGCAGACATTGTACCCGAAACATGGACAATTTTCAGAGGCAGCTCTGGAGTACAGTTACATCACAACCACTTAGCACTGCAGAAAAATGCTGAGTGTTCTTTATGGAACTATAGCCATGTGCAGCAAATTATGGGGTTTATTAACAAAAACTGAATTGTAATGGGTTCATAATGGAATAGCAAACATTACACCAAAATATCGGATTTGGAAAATTCTTCAGCTGTATCCTTAAATTCATTGCAATTCAGTATTTACTGAATAATCCCCATTGTAATCCTCTGAGATTTCACAGAAAGAGAGAGGCCCAAGTACTCACTTAGATACAGGGTCATGCAGATGAAAATGATCAGCCCGAACCAGGCGTTGAACGAAGATGTGAAATAAACGATTCCGATTACAATATCCGCAATAGTTGGAAGTATGCTGAATACAATATAACTGCAAAACAGTAAGAAAGAACAATAGTAAGTAAACTGGCTGAGGGTGGTGAGAGTCATAAGCGGCAGTGTGATCAAGGTTGGTTTAAGTGATAGTTAAGTCTTATAAAAATAAGAATGTTTTTTGTATTAAAGCCATTATTATGTTCATACTCCAGGTGTGTAAACTTATCCTAATGCTACATATGTGATACTGATCATTTTTTTTAAAATAAAACTTGCAACATACAATATTGCAGCTTTAGTTGGACATTGTTGAAAAGCGACAGTTAATCTCTGTGGTCCTCCCTGCTTCACTCCCTGCACAGTGCAGTGACAGGGAGCCTGGGTATAAGAGGGAGGTGTGGATGTCTACATTGTATTTTTCACACCTCACAAATACATATTTTTAAATATAGGGATAATTAAACATAATATAAGAAATACTGGGTAGTAAGAGGTCCCTTTTAACTTGTATTATGAGTTTATAACAGCTTAAATAAAATCTCTGCAAGGTTCCCACCAGAAGTCACAGATTAATTTTACCTGAGCAGACTGTTAATACTGCTAGTGCCTCTGTCCACACTGCGTAAGACTTCACCGGTCTTGCGTCCCAGATGCCAGCGCAATGACAGAGCGTGGAGATGGGAGAAGAGGCGGACTTGCACCTCACGGTTGGTAAACTGCTGAACCTTGATCCACAGGAAACTGCGCGTGTTACTAATAAATCCAGTCGCACCTTGAAGAACAACAAAAGGGGATTGTCAGCAGAAGGCAACAAAGGGTTAAAACATACATTAGTTTACTCAGCTGTGTACTCTCTATACAGAACAACACTACCAGAAGAGATGGACAATATTGGGCAACTTTTAATGTATGCAATGTTTGTAACAATCTACTAATAGGGGGATACCTGTGCTCACCAGCCCTAATTCCTAAAAACACGACTTGGATATAATGGATGTAGGACTAAAAATAAATAAATCTCCTAATAAACAAGTAATACTCAACCATTACAAGTTTATAATAACAATGTAACTACTACCATACAGGGAGCAGCGCTGCATCCATGCTGACCGCACAGCTCCTAAGAGGGGATGAGATTGATGGGCTGGGTGGTAGCAAACAATGTATAATGACACTGTACATATACTTGTACATCTCAGAGAGGAAGCAATGCTCACTGTGTGAAAGGGGGGGGAGGAGTCTGGGAACCACAGCTTAGCATGAAAACATAAAAAAAAAAAAAACGGAATGTCCCTATAATGGCAAAGACGAAATAAAAACTAAAAGCAAGGAGGATGAAGACTATGGTAACAACAGATGCTGCAGCAGTTTGTAAACTACATTTCCCGTGATGTCTCATTTACCTTCAAATGATGGAAAACCGTTAGAAATATACGTCTCTCGTTGGGATAAATTATGTGTTGCAAAGCTAAGTGTTAAATAATAACATGAAATTCTTTATATCTGGTGTATCATTCCATGCAGCAAACGTGAGTGTATGTGTGCATGAACTCATTATTATACACCAACATATCAAAACAGTGTGCACATAACACTCCAACGTTCTATGGAGTCTTTGCTTAATCCCCTCCACTTTGTTTGACATTAACATTGTGGAAACAAGCACATAATGCAGGGTAATAGATACAGTACAGGTTGGCACACTGTAGTGACAGAAACATACATTGTACGTGGAGTATGTTATAGATATGCAATGTTAACCCTTAATGTGCACACTCCCGCTGAATGCAATGTATGGGATCACTTATTTATAGCAACTGAATGCAACCTGTTGTCGCACATATATAAAAAAATAAAAAGGGGTCGTTGGTGTGGAATCAATCTGTGTACCTTACACTCACTGCAAAAAGGATGTTAAACCACTCATCTGTTTTTATATGAACGTTAATCCTGTATGACTTACAATAGAACTGCAGGTAAGTCAATAATTATATGCATGTCTGTGTGAATGGAAGTCATAAAATATGTCTTGAGCACTAGTCGATAGCAAGCTGATAGCATGTAAATGCAGAGCAACTAAATAATGAAAATTAGAGACTGGGAGCTGGTAGAATCTGGTTATTAGAAGGTTTCCCATTTCCCATCTTACCTGCTCCTCCACCTTGCAAAAACTTGAGGAAAACGTACATACAGACGGTGAGGGCCAAGATGTGCCAAGCTGTGCCCTCTGTCAGATAATCCACTGTGAATAAAGAAAATAATGTGTCATATCACAGCCTTGTAAATAGACTTCCTTCATAAAATTCAAACTCATTACCAGTGAATTAGAAAACACTATGTATGTTTTCTATAAGGGAGGTGATACAATGTAAGAAAAAGAAGGGATCTGTGATGCAAGATAGCGAGGGAGCTCTGTAACATAGAATAGGATTATTATATGGAGAAGGACAGGCTGGGACATTATTTAATACAGTTTATTATTTATATTTTTACCTATAGTCTTGGCATAAATTGGAACAAATACATTAATAGCTCGTTCTAATCCCATCAATCCCATGCAGAGAAGAACCAGTAGCTGCAGGAAGACGCTCCCCTTCGGCCACATGTAAGGGAGGAGGAGACGAACCTTCTTTGTGAAACCCTGCCATGTGGATTCATTCGGGGGTCCGAGAAGGGGCTGAGGGATGTAAGGGGATTAAAAAAATTTTACATTAGGAATACGACAATAAATCAGGGCATCAAAAGATAAAAAAAATAACCTACTGAGTAAACTATATGAATACCCGGTCAGCATTCAACAGGTTACAAATAGTTACCCCCTCCCCCCCCCCGGTGCCCATGCTGCTCCAGACTGCGCTCCAGATGAAGCTCAGACAGCCTTTACTGCTGTAGCTAAAACATTTCTGCCCTGTTGGGGTTTCCTAGTAAATGTTAGAGAGCTAAACTCACTCCACTTTCTGCAGTAGGTACCACCATCACGCTGCTGACTGGCTTCATTCCCGAAACGCACTGTCACAGAATGTGCAACAGTAGGCAATAAATGAAATGTACAGGTCCCTCCTCTGGAATGGATGGGATCAATTACTGAATATACAGCATTAGGAGATCAGCAGGATGTGATCGGGGCGCACTGTGAAAACATTGCAACGAATGCTGCAAATTGCAAAGTGAAGCAATGATGGCAGTATCTGATCGCAATAATAAACCCTGATAATCCAGCCTGGTATGGAGACTGTGACTGCTAAAATTATATATATATATATATATATATATATATATATATATATATATACACATACACATACACACACACACACCTTTACATTCACGTCCTTTACCCCCCACCTTTACATTCACGTCCTATACTCCCACCTTTACATTCACGTCCTATACTCCCACCTTTACATTCACGTCCTATACCCCACCTGTGCATTCACATCCTTTACTCCCACCTGTGCATTCACATCCTTTACTCCCACCTGTGCATTCACATTTCTTCAGATATAAAGAAATGTGAATGCACAGGTGGGAATAAAGGATGTGAATGCACAAGCGCCAGGATTCCCATCTGTGCCTTCACATCCTTTACTCTGACCTTTACATTCACATCCTTTACTCCCACCTGTGCATTCACATGCCTTACCAGTGCATTCTTTACCATTACTCATACCTGCACAGTCACATCCTTTACTCCCACCTTTACAATCTTTTTCGTTAATCACACCTACACATCCTTTACTACCACCTGTGAATTCACATCCTTTACCCCACCTACACATTCACATCCTTTACTCCCACCTGTGCATTCTCCCCAATTATTCCCACCTATACATTCTTCTTACTTCTCCCACCTGTGAATTCTCTATATCTCTTTCATCTTCATTCACGAGAAGGATGTACGGCTTGCGAGGTCGGCCGGGCGCCAGGATTCCCAGTACAAATAGGAAGAGTAGGCAGACATAACGCAGAACCCATAGACCGAACTGCACCTGTGGAGACATCCGATAACAGATTGAAACCAGTCAAATCTTTACAAAACCGGTAATCATAAATAAATTAAATTTCTGTTATGAATAATAACAATTATGGTCTGTTATAAAAGATAAACCTATATCTGGTAATTAAATTGCCATTTGAAACATTTACATCAATGTGAGAGCTGATTACCAGAGTTAGCAGAGTTTAATTGTATCTTCTGCAGAAGAACTCAGCCCTGTGCGCTCTAACTCGCCAAAATATTATATTTACCTGACATGTGACTGATAAGTGCTTTATTAAATCTATGTTTTTTTTTTAAATCAGAGTGTAAAAAAATGAAACAATATAATAAAACTGACCTTTTGTGACAGGTTATCCATATACATCCACCACCAGTGGGGACTATACCAGGACATAAAGGCAAGGTTCTCAGCTGCAAAGGCTAGGGCCCACAACAGTAGCAGTATCACACCGTGGCCCCTGCTTCTCTCTCGATCCAGGGCCCGTGTCCTCTCCAAGTGAAGGAGCCAGATGCTAAATCCCCAGGCCACTGCTGATAGGCAGCCGTACACTATCATGTACCCATAGATCACCTCGCTGCCCGATGCCTGCCAGATCAGGCCCCCCAGGGCCTGTAAAACCAGTACCGAAGACAATACAATTTGAAGCCTGTAGAGTTTTGAGCGTGGTATGTATTTGGGTTCCATTGTCCTGCTTTGTTTGGCATAACAGGCTGACTGCAGTGTCCCCAGCAAGAGGGAAAAACTGAGGAGTACAGAGGGCACCAACGTGAAGTAAAAGCAAGGGGACAGTCCGCTATCCAGCCACGCCTGAGATACGCTCCCATTGTGCTCGCAGTAAGACCCCAGTCTTGTCATCTTTACGAACTCCTGTCTTTAGGAAAAGTGAAACACAAAATCAATAAATACTGAAATGCAATTTAAAGCAGCTTGCCCTTACGACCCTCTCTGATCCCTATAGATATTACGTGGTGGAGCTCGCCTTTACAACCCTCTCTGATCCCTGTAGATATTACGTGGTGGAGCTCACCTTTACGACCCTCTCTGATCCCTGTAGATATTACGTGGTGGAGCTCGCCTTTGCAACCCTCTCTGATCCCTGTAGATATTACGTGGTGGAGCTCACCTTTACGACCCTCTCTGATCCCTGTAGATATTACGTGGTGGAGCTCGCCTTTATGACCCTCTCTGATCCCTATAGATATTACGTGGTGGAGCTCGCCCTTACGACCCTCTCTGATCCCTATAGATATTACGTGGTGGAGCTCGCCCTTATGTCCCTCTCTGATCCCTATAGATATTACGTGGTGAGACACGGACCAAGCAGAGGGTGTGGAAACATCAGGTTCTCGGCTCACAATTCTCCATACTCTTGTGTACCAGGCTGTAAATAACAATACTAGACACTAAAATTTCACAACTTTTTGTAATTTCATTTGTGTCGGACAGAAAGTGATTCTGTAACCCTGGCATTTGTCCAGGATCTGCAGTTAGTATAGTAAAAAAAATAATAATAAAAAGTTCACCCACTAAACCATGTATTAAGTGCTTTTAATTTTAATACATTAGTAATTACTTTAATTTTACCAATATCTCCATTATTATATGACATTTAGGACAAGGATCATGGAAAACTTACATTTACAGCACAAAAAACATGTGTTCTAAGTACACAGTATTACACGTCTAAACAGAATATGCGCCAGTCTTGCCCTGTTTCTGATGTCTCACTTCTTTCTAGGGACTAGTGTGAGAAAGTACTGCTAGCCTATAGGGCTCTATCAGGGGTGCCCAAACCGTAAATCCCCAGATGTTGTAGAACTACAACTCCCATTAGGCTTTGCATGCTTTTAGAATGCCTTTTGAATGACAAAGCACCATGTAACTTGTAGTTTTAAAACATCTGGGGATCTACCTTTTGGACACCCCTTGGTCTAGATCACATCCAAAATCATTTTGCAGTAAGGTTTGCGACCTTCTGAAAGAGATTTTATCTCTTTAGAACTTTGGAACTTTCTGTAGAATGAAACAATATCAGAATTTATCAAAGTAAGAATTCAAAGTGTATTTAAGGCCAAAGTAGCCGAAATTGAAACATAGCGGACTTTGAGAATTTTTCCCGTTCAGCTACTTTGACATTAAAATTCACTTTGAATCCTCAGTTTAGTGAATAACTGTATGTGTATAACTTCTTAATATGCAACTGTTCACACGTGTCTGAAATCGCACCGAGTTGATGAATAGCTGTATCTTGCTCTGTCATTATGCTCAGCCAGCAACATGAAAGATGAGCTGCCCAATTGCCATACTTCATTCATTCCTAACTGGATATATACATTAGATCAGTATATTATAATTAGTACACTGTGTAATGTGTTGTGTAATACAAGCAATAACATCCATTATAGTCTAATGACAGGTCTGGCCAGTGACTGCACCCAATGTACAATTACCACAAGGAGACCGCTTAGGGCTCAGGGATTAGACAGAAACCCTAGAACTACGAATTGGTTTGGCCTCATTCACCTTCACTATGTGAAGACTAAAGGGTGCCCCTAACTGGTAACCTGCCGTGAGGGTCCTGTGAGATCTTAACTCTTCTCAGCCTGGTCCTCCTTTAGTAATCCGTTAAGAACCACCTACTGTCTATGTAACAGAGAGCATCTCCAAACTATACATGTTAAGATCCTTTAACCTTTCTTGGTAAGTTTTATCCCGCAATCCATGAACCAGTTTAGTAGCCCTTCTCTGACCTCTCTCTAAGGTATCAATATTCTTCTGAAGATACGGTCTCCAGTACTGTGTACAATACTCCAAGTGAGGTCTTACCAGTGTTCTGTACAATGGCACGAGCACTTCCCTCTTTCTACTGCTAATACCTCTCCCTATACAACCAAGCATTCTGCTAGCATTTCCTGCTGCTCTGTTACAATAGAAACATAGAATGATAGTCATAACTGACTGAACTTTAAGGAATTTGCAGATGGAATGCCATGTTCACTGGAGTGAGGGGCTGTATAGACTTGGCAGTTGTGCTGGCGTGTAACATGCCTTTGGTCTGTAGAGGGTTAATTTACTGTAAAACAATGCCTGGACAAACAAACAAAAGATATACAGAGACTGCGTGCAAAGCAACACATTATATATGTCACCTTTAACCAGCAATATATCGACATCAAGGCCATCTGTCACCCCACCCTACAAAACTATCCAGCTAAGGAGCATCGCACCTGCCCTTGATTTAAAGACACTCCCACCATCCTCAGTCAGAAACGCTAAATCTGTCAGAGGAACCCATCAAACTCGGAATTGCAATGAATTCAAATGCGATTTGCAAAATGTAAGAAAAAATAGTCCGGTTGTGACTATGGCTCTGTTGAATATTTTTCTTCCAGATCATCGTTGTCATTTGTACAGCGCTACGGAATCTGTTGGCGCTATATAAATAATAAAATAATAATTTGGATTTCAATTTGCTATAACTTGGCGTTTAGTGAAAAGCTATGTTAGTCTTAAAGGACCACTCTAGGCACCCAGACCACTTCAGCTTAATGAAGTGGTCTGGGTGCCAGGTCCAGCTAGGGTTAACCCATTTTTTAATAAACATAGCAGTTTCAGAGAAACTGCTATGTTTATTAATGGGTTAAGCCTTCCCCCATTCCCTCTAGCGGCTGTCTCATTGATTTTCATTGATAATGCTTTCCTATGCGACCGGCTGAATGCACGCGCAGCTCTTGTCGCGCGTGCGCATTCAGCCGACGGGGCGGAGAGCTCCCTGCCCAGCGCTGGAAAAAGGTAAGTTTTTCCCCTTTTCAGAGCCCGGCAGGAGTATGAGTATGTTTTCCTGGCACTATAGTGGTCCTTTAAGATCCAAATTAAATACTTTGATTGATCAATAGCTTCTAGATTTTATACCAGATCTATCTAGCCATTTAGCATCAGACTAGGTTATATATAGTCATTGTATTATAGTGGCACTGCTACGGATTTAATATTTCATTGGAAGAGAATGCCAGAAGGAACATGGCCTCAGAGGTTTGGCTTTAGTTTGTTTGTTGTTTTAAGTTTGGGTGGTGGGATGGGATGGGAAGGTATTCTAAAGAAAAACAGTGTTTTGTCTTGTCTGAATCATTGGCAAGCCCTCCACTTCTTCCCCAGCCCAGATTTGTTGTGACTGTCCAATCAAAGACTTCCCAATACAGCTCAATGAGAGGTCTTTGCAAGGCAGGTGGCAAGGGGGTCCTTTCAATCTAAAATGAACACATATGTAGGATAATATTGAATTATAGGTAACCAGATCTCAGTGTCTCGGACTGTATGAAATACCTTCTGTGCCATATTGTATATGTTATAAAATAATAGGGTTCATTAACTCAACAAGGAGTTGTGGAGATTTAGCAAGGCAATTGTCAAAATAGTAAAAAACTTGAGAAATCTCTAACTCTAGCTAATTAACAGTTTAGCTATTTGGTCTTTAAATTGCAATTTCCTTAGAAATGAACAGTTTAATGAATTAACACCAAGGTTAGAACATGCATTATACATGGAGCATAGACACATACATATACACATAAACATACAGATGGCTGCTTAATGTAATTTTTAAAAAAATTACTCACGAAGACAAATTATTTTATTTACGAAGATTAATTTTAAATATATCTGTTACAGTTTGAATACACATGGCTGTATTTGTTATTGCTGTAGAGCAGGGGTGCCCAGTAGGTTGATCGCAATCTACCAGTCGACTGCAAAGGTGATGCTGGTAGATTGTGGCCAGCTCTTTAATTACTCATGGGGTGAGGGCCGCAGACCTTCATCAATTGTAAGTGTTGTGTCTGCTTGCTAATATTGTTTTTTTTAATGGATACTACTGTAAGGGGCTGGGCAGGGGTTTTGTAGAAGAGGTGACAGGGGGTTTTGTAGAGGGGGCATGGGATTTGCAGAAGGGGGTGGCAGAAGTTTTTGTAGAGGGGGGCATGGGATTTGTAGAAGGGGAGACAATGGGTTTGTAGAAGGGGGTGAAAGGAGTTTTGTAGAAGGTAGTGATATGGGTTTTTATTTATTTTATTAATTCAATATGAAGATACATGCAGTAGTCACAATAAGGATCTGCTTTTTTTAGTGTGTTGTTTTTAGTAGGTAGATCTCGTTGAGCTGGTCATTTAGAAAGTAGTAGATCATGACACTAAAAAGTGTAGGCACCCCTGTTGTAGAGTTTAGGTATATTGTCACACACACAAAGTATTCTGGGCTCTTAGAATGAGAGACATTAGGACCAAACAGAGGGACTGCCCAACCTTAATAGGGACACCTGGTAGGTATGATCATACATACATGTATCAATAACTGCCCTGTGTGAATATGATCATACATATTACATGTATCAATAACCACCCTGTGTGAATATGATCATACATGCTACATGTATCAATAACCACCCTGTGTGAATATGATCATACATATTACATGTATCAATAACCACCCTGTGTGAATATGATCATACATGCTACATGTATCAATAACCACCCTGTGTGAATATGATCATACATATTACATGTATCAATAACCACCCTGTGTGAATATGATCATACATGCTACATGTACTAACCAAACTGTTGTGAATATGATCATACATGCTACATGTATCAATAACAGCCCTGTGTGAATATGGTCATGCATGCTACATGTACTAACCAAACTGTTTGAATATGATCATACATACTACATGTTTCAATAACTGCCCTGTGTGAATATTTTCATACATACATGTATATACACCTGACCTGTGTGAATATGATCATACATGCTACATGTATCAATAACCGCCCTGTGTGAATATGATCATACATGCTACATGTATCAATGCTCAGGAAAGTGGGATTTTATCATAAATGTAGCAATAACTTAATGTATTAGCACATAACAACATGTATAGCAAGGCATGTGTTAGTGTGTGTTTGTTTATATGTGATCTTACATAAAATAGTGTGTGTTTCATATACTCACCTTGTAATATCTGTGCTGTCAATAGGGTCCAGGAGGTCAGTATCACACAGGCTGTCTCTGCCCTCTACACACTGTGTCTGTCTCACACTACCTGTCTCTCAGGGTACACACTGTGTCTGTCTCAGACAGCCTGTCTCCCAGAGTACACACTGTGTCTGTCTCACACTGCCTGTCTCTCAGGTTACACACTGTGTCTGTCTCACACTGCCTGTCTCTCAGGGTACACACTGTGTCTGTCTCACACTGCCTGTCTCTCAGGGTACACACTGTGTCTGTCTCAGACAGCCTGTTACATTGTATCCCTCCTCCTCTCTCTGGCAGTGTATGACCCTGCTCACCCATTGGTCAGTCTGCCTGTCAGTCTGTGTGGAGGCAGGGCAATGCTTAGCCTGTAACACTAATCCCCTCTCTCCCCCCCCCTGGGTCCTAGTGCCTGCCAGGTAGTCACTCTGACTCAGCTACAACATGCTAAGTAACTGTGTGTATTCTGTGGCAGTGACTCAGCAATATCAGAGTAAACTCACAGTAAGCTGCTTCCTGGTGAGAGAGACAGCATTAAATCACAGTCACAACTACCTTTACCACTTCTGAATCAGCATTCTAATAACTGTCACACCCTGAACCAATCACAGATCAGAATCATAATAATAATAATAATAATAATACCAGCCAGGTATTGCACCAATCAATAATCAGCATTCTAATAACTGTCACACACTGAACCAATCACAGATCAGAATCATAATAATAATAATAATAATAATAATAATAATAATTAATAATAATACCAGCCAGGTATTGCACCAATCAATAATCAGCATTCTAATAACTGTCACACACTGAACCAATCACAGATCAGAATAATAATAATGATATAATAATAATAATAATACCAGCCAGGTATTGCACCAATCAATAATCAGCATTCTAATAACTGTCACACACTGAACCAATCACAGATCAGAATCATAATAATAATAATAATAATACCAGCCAGGTATTGCACCAATCAATAATCAGCATTCTAATAACTGTCACACACTGAACCAATCACAGATCAGAATCATCATCATCATCATAATAATAATAATAATAATACCAGCCAGGTATTGCACCAATCAATAATCAGCATTCTAATAACTGTCACACACTGAACCAATCACAGATCAGAATCATAATAATAATAATAATACCAGCCAGGTATTGCACCAATCAATAATCAGCATTCTAATAACTGTCACACACTGAACCAATCACAGATCAGAATCATAATAATAATAATAATAATAATAATACCAGCCAGGTATTGCACCAATCAATAATCAGCATTCTAATAACTGTCACACTCTGAACCAATCACAAATCAGAATCACAATACCTGTCAGGTATTGCACCAATCAATAATCAGCATTCTAATAACTGTCACACACTGAACCAATCACAAATCAGAATCGTAATAATAATATCTGCCAGGTATTGCACCAATCAATAATCAGCATTCTAATAACTGTCACACACTGAACCAATCACAAATCAGAATCGTAATAATATTATCGGCCAGGTATTGCACCAATTAATTATCAGCATTCTAATAACTGCCACACACTGAACCAATCACAAATCAGAATCACAATACCTGAGAGGTATTGCACCAATCAATAATCAGCATTCTAATAACTGTGAGCCACCTGCCCTATTACTCTCTCAGTGACACTATGACCTGTGTAAAACATGGCTAGACTCACATTCAGTATACCAAAGTGAGTACAATTATTTATATAGCGCCAACATATTCCATGGTGTTGTACAATAGGTAAACAAGACAAACATTTAATTCTGACAATAGGTAGGTGAAGGGAGCACTGCTCAAGCAAGCTTACAATCTAAAGGGGAAGTAGGGATGCCATTAGAATTTTTGGAGCACTTACAAACACACAGGATACCCCACCCCCCGCGTCACTCTCCCAGACAGAGATACACGCTCACAGAGACACCCCCAAATCACATTCCCAGAGAGAAATACGCACTCACAGACACATACATGCATTCCTGTCTCGGTTGGAGTCCCCCAAGGCTCTGTCCTTGGTCCCCTTCTATTTTCTCTTTATACTGCCTCTCCTGGCAAACTTATTGCCTCATTTGGATTCCACTACCACCTGAACGCTGATGACACCCAGATATACCTCTCCTCCCCGGACCGCTCCCCTGCCGTCCTGCAACGTGTCACTGCTTGCCTTTCTTCCATCTCTGACTGGATGTCCTACCGCTTTCTCAAACTCAATCTCTCTAAAACTGAGCTCCTTGTCGCTCTTCCTCCTAATACTGATACTCCTCTCTCGCTCTCCCTTCAAGTTAGTGATATCCCCATCATTCCATCCTTGACTCTGGCCTCACCTTTGAGCCTCACATCCAGTATGTTGCCAAATCCTGGAGATTCCACCTTAAAAACATAGCCCGCATCCTCCCCTTTCTTACGCAAGATGCTACTAAGGAGCTTGCCCATGCTCTAGTAATTTCCCGCATGGGTTATTGTAACTCTCTCCCAAAAGTCGTATACAGTCTGTAATGAATGCTGCCGCCAGACTGATTTTCCTCTCTAGTCGGTCCTCTCACACATCACCCCTTTGTCAGTTCTTACATTGGCTTCCTGTATCCTAAAGGGTCAATTCAAAGTACTAACCATGTTGGTTCCCAAGTTAGAAACAGATTTTGTGGAATAACAATTACAGAAAAAAATAAGCCATGTCTCTTTAAGAAGAAATGAAAGTGAACTTAGTTGTTTAAATAGCCAGGAATTAGGAATGGATGTCTGAATTAAACAAGAGATAGTTGAATTTCCTTCAAGCAGGATAATGCAGTGAGTAGTAATAAGCAGAGGTCTGTTATAGAGATAATCCAGCAGAAATAATAGAAGAGTTAAAGGCTTTTAATTTGTATAGAAGCAGATACTTTAACAATTTAGCTTGAGTGAAAGGTTGTAGGGTAGTCAGTAGTCTGCTCCGAATCAGGGTTTGGAGAATTCAGCAAAGTCAGGTAGGGTTTGGAGAATTCAGCAATCAGGTAGGTATAAGCAGGGGTTTGGTACATGTAGATTAACAGGAGGGAGCTCAATTGGCAACTTTGTCTCGCTAACTAGCAAATTAGCTGAGCAATTAAAAAGTTGCTGCGGCTGCCCTTTAACCCCTTAAGAACACGACATGTGTGACATGTCATGATTCCCTTTTTTTCAAGAAGTTTGGTCCTAAGGGGTTAAAGGGGCTGCATCTGACGTCAGACTACGGGCGGAGTCGATCTGCGAAACCCGGAAGTGTCTCCGAGGGGGTATGACAAACCCATACCTATAAAGCATTGAACAATTTTAACCCCTCTTATATCTCTTCACAGATCCATAGGTATGTCCCTTCTGGGTCTCTCCGCTCTGCCCGTGACCTTCTCCTGTCCGTTGCTGGCACCTGTAAGGCCAACTCACGCTTGCAGGACTTCTTCCTATAGATATGGCCTGTCTACCGCCATCAGACTCTCCCCTAGTCTTCAATCGTTTAAGAAATGCCCATCTCTTTAGGAAAGCTTATGGCCTCCCAGAGTAACCTCTACCTCACATACCTGTCCCTTGCTCTCTCCTAAAGGGCAGCGCTTTACTTTCTCCTCCAGCTCTGCTTCACTCCCACCTTATTTGATTGCTATTTCCCGTCATAATGTGTTTAATACCCCACCTCCTATAGACTGTAAGCTTGTTTGAGCAGGGTCCTCTTCCACCTATCGTTCCTGTATGTTTTCTTGTAATTATCCTATTTATAGCTAAATCCCCCCCTCATAATATTGTAAAGCGCTACGGAATCTGTTGACGCTATATAAATGGCAATAATAATAATAAATCAGACACACACATGCATTCTAGACACTCTCACAGGACAGACATGTAGATATACTCTCACAGACACACACAGGTACCCACTGCAAGACACACACATACAGCCAAATACAAATTGCTGCACACACACAAACACTCTGCTAAACATACATACACCCAGCTACTATACAGTATAGTGTGCTACACACACGCACACTTTGCAGGAACTGATACACACACATACAACACACACACTACGACATATATGAAATGGAAAATCAATCAATAAATTGATTATTCTTTGTGTATCTGCCCCTGGCCAAATTAAGGAAACAATGCGTGCACGCTCCCTGAAGTAATTCACACCAGACACAGGTTTCAGGTTGTTGAATAACTTGAGGAATGTTTATTCAGAGGGGACGGCAGGTCCCTTTTAAAGCAGAATTACATCATAAGCATTGTCAGAGATAACATGAAATAATACATCAATAATTGGTTAAGTGTTAAGTGGTCTTCTTAATGCTCTGCCTACTAAGGGTGATGTCACTGGAACCATGAGGGTCTCCCCCGGATTCCAGCGCCATCTTGCTACACGAGGTAGTTAGTCGGTGTTATAGGGAGAGAGGGGTTAGAAGCTTCTAGTGGCCATTTTGTCTAAATATGCATGAATAGCTTATACACTGATTTCAGTTAAATTAGTAAATAGGCATTTTACTAACTAGAAAATATGTCAATATCTCATTTCCACAACAATATACATACATTGCTAAACACACACTCAGCTACATATACATACATTGTTATACACAGACCTAAAGTCTACACACATAGACTACCGCTAACATTTTGTTTAGCCACCCTTCCTTTTAGTAAGCATTTTGGAGTTTGGGATCAAACTTGCATGGGGTCGCAGGTGGCTGGTTCCTCTCCTCACACACATTTGGCACTATTGCTGGTTGGGAGTGATCTGACATCACTTGCTCCTGGCAATACCTCACAGGACTGAGTAAGGAACAGTCAGTGCGAGCGGTTAAGGACCCCTGTCTGGTGGAGTACAGGAAAGCATTCTATTGATATGAAACCAAGTCCTGAAGTTGAATCAGAGCATCTAGTGATGAGATTAAACTGCTTATTGTCAGGATGCAATGTACCCCAGCACACAGAATTTAGGTTAGAATCAGAAAAGCTAAAACAGAGGAAAGCGCGTATTAATGCTCCTTAGGATTGGCCGGGTTTAAATGAACACTATATAGCGTTAGGAATTCAAATGTGTATTCTTAAAGCTACAGTGCAATGTTAAAGGTTAGGTACCCGCCTCTTCCTTGCAAGGTGTAAAAATACAGTTTTTCTATGAGCAGTTTTACTACAGTGTCGACTATTTCTATGGAAGCACCTCTAGTGGCTGCCAGTATGATGTTGACTTGAGGCATTTGCCCTTCCTGCAAAACAAGGGTGCGTGTGCTGTGCAATTTACATAATTTATACAACTGTCCAATATCATTGAGAATAGGGTTTGGGATTTCCCTGAAGTGTCCCCATGCGATGCACCCCAGAGGCAGGTGACCCTATTGGCCTTTGCCATAGGTTTATTGTTTAACATATACTACAAGATACGTCTTTATGTACAGCAGCAATTAAGGGGCTGTAAGAAAGAGGCAATCATGCACCTGAGGAAGACAATCTCTTGTTGAAATGCATTGACTTCTGTTATTTGTTTCTGGGTTTGAAATGAAGATACAGAAGTTTACTTACAGGAAGAAATATTATTGTGGTTACTTAACTGCGGACCTGGAGGAACATTCAGCATAGGTGGTTCTTTACCTGAATATCGAATTGGATCATCTCTACTCCTCCTGATATACTTGTGCTGGTTTTATAGACTCAGTCAAATGGGAGTGTATTACCAGAGGGGGTGTTATTTCATATATTCATAGTTTTATATCTTATTTTTTCTTTATTTTATTTTTGCAGTCCCTTGATCAGAAAGGATGGTAATAGTATACACACATTATATATAAAATAGGTGCATCGGTCATTTTGTTTGTTTGTTTATCCTTCTGACGGAGATTGAGTCTGTGAGCATGTGGTCAGAGCAAGTAACTATTTACTAAACCTGTAAACGTGGAGAACTATTATCTTTATACCAAATTAGCCAAGAAAGAAAACCAGTTGAACTGGAGACATTTTCAAATAAAGATATTTTGGCATATTTTCTCCCATTTATTTATCTAGTCTCCATCTTTCTCTTATTGTCATTCTTGTTAATTTAAGTCAGAATTGTTAGACAATTCAAAGTGAATTTTGAATTTTAGACCAAAATAGCGCAGTTAGAAACATAGATGACTTGAAGAATTTTTAGTTATTTTGACTCGATTTGAATTCCCAGTGAATAACCCTGTGTGTGTTTTAACCATCAATGCTATTTCACAAAGACCACGCCAGCTAGGATTTTCATTATATTAATCTTCCCAAAAAAGTGACAGAGCAGACACAATTGGCAGGATATTACCTTTTTTTTATGTTTTTGATAGTTAATGTATAAAACAAATCTAAATATGAAAAAAAGTAATATTTCACTTCGCACTTAGACAAGAACTGCAGCTGACAAACCCTTTAGCTGTCCAGCAAGAGTCTCCACCAATTACAGGCCTTCCCTTCTTCCATGTGGGGGCATACTTAGAGTGATCGTTTGAGTATTTTTTTTACAAACATCTAGGATTATATAATTTTCGCGTGCATGCCAGATACTATGAGAGTTGTCCCTTGAGAGTCTCACAATAATCAGTCAGCAGCAGCTCCCAGCTCATCTCTTATCAGTTGAGCGCAGAACGACATTCAGCCTCTGCTTTGCAAAGGATTCCTCAAAATGCCGCCATTGATGGACAATTCCAATTTGTTTCTAGAAGTACTAATATATCTTTTAGCATTATGCACATAATTGACAATTTACTTGCATGTGCACAAATAGGCAAGTCTAGGGCTTTACATGTGTGGAAGCTCATGGGATATCCAGTGGCATAACCAGAGCTACAGTCACCCGGGACAGAACTAAATTTTATTTTTTTTAGGCCCATCCAGCCTACCTACCCTTTGGAGAGCTAATGTTGGTCCTCTCCATAGGTTCCAGTGGGGCTCCTGCAGGTCCCAGGTCCTGAAACTGCTCCCTCTCATGTCCATAACACAGTTTAGTGATGTCAGGGCCAAAGTGACGTCATATTCCGGCTACTTGCATCGCTACAGAGAGCAGTGTGAGAACCTGGAAGATCAGAGCTTCCTCGCTGCCGCCACCACATCCTATCCTTCTCCTCCCCCCCAGTATATTTCGGCATAGTAGGCACCTGCCGTCCAGGTAAAAAGGTATCTACTCTGCCTGAGGGAATAAGAGCTCGCTCTGGGGGCACCTCCTGGGCCCGGATGCCCTCACCAATCCCAATATTTCCGTCCGGGAGCCACACCATCTGCCACCCCTGTAGTTACGCCACTCTGAACAGTGATATTATCACAGTGTCAGCACAACGGCAAAGCTTTATTTAGAAGATCAAGTCTTAGCTTGTAAAAGAACACTCCATGCACCACAACAGCCCACTGTAATGATTACGGTGCCAGCAGTGCCCTGACCTTTCACTCTGTTTAGAGATAGAAAACTGGATGACAAATGTATTTATTTCAGCTGTTCAGTCAAATCATTCATTTGCACTCAGCTGATGCTCTCAGCTAATGACTTATAGCCTACATCATCGCCCAGCTTCTCCGGTCTGAAAAAGACTGGGAGCCGCACAATCGCTAGGCAGGACAAGAGTACGTGGCAACCCAAGCTAAAACAGTTTAACAGGTTAAGCCAGTGTCGTTCCAAGGCACTAATCTTTTAGCATTATGCACATAATTGACAATTTACTTGCATGTGCACAAATAGGCAAGTCTAAGGCTTTACATGTGTGGAAGCTCATGGGACATCCAGTGGCATAACCAGAGCTACAGTCACCCGGGACACAACTAAATTTTATTTTTTTTAGGCCCATCCAGCCTACCTACCATTTGGAGAGCTAATGTTGGTCCTCTCCATAGGTTCCAGTGGGGCTCCTGCAGGCCCAAGCAGTCTACCCACCACGATGGTGCCATAACATGTGGTGGGTAGACTGCTTGGACGGTGTCTTTGAAAATATGTGAAAGCCAAATGTCATTCATACAATCTGTATGGGAATCTGGACCAGTCAAGCCAACAGATCGAATACCAGTTTAGCAGATAGGTATATAAACACCAACATAGGGAAAATAAACTTATCGCCATTTGTTTTACTATACACGACTTGTACCATCTCTCAATTTACCGAATAAATCATTAATCAGAGAAACGCCTCATGCTCAATGTGCATTTATGCCAAACACACTCGAGAGTGGTAGAGATTTTCCCAGAACCCTTGCTGACATTGGCCTCAGTATATTCTGCTTTCCAAATGATTCCGTACTGTTTGAAAAAGAAACGATTTATCTCCAGAAATTACCATCAAGGTTTATGGGATTTATTTGTTGTTGTTAAATCATTTAGGAAGTCTTTCTTTGAAAAATGTATTAACTCGAGACAATTGATCATCAGACTGTGACGTAGTACAAAGGCAGGCTCGTTGGAAATGGCATATAGTACACCATAATGAATGGATATACATAAAAATTGAGCTTTGATTAATGCAAACATGAAGACTCTTTTGAAGACAGACTGAACCCTTAAAAATTAATAGTTTTTTTTCTTCAGCAAAGCATTGCAATAATAACTAGATGAAATCAATTCTCACCTTCCCTTCTAGTTCAGCACCAGTCTTCAGCAAATTATTTTGACATGACACCGAACTGATCAAATTAACTATAAATGCTGCCGTGGCATAGTACAAAAACCTGTATGTCTCAAAAGTACACAGATGTATTTGAGCAGCCAACCAGCTGGTCCTTGGGCATGTGGCAGGGCGCTGGTGGAATAAAGAGCTGTGTAGTCACCCTAGATCAGAGATGTCCAAAAATTATGTTTCAACACTGCAGTAACGGTGACAATTTTTTATTAATTGTTTAGAGGGTGGGGACATGAGCAATATTTAAATACATGTTCAAAGTTTAGTAATTTTATTTTACACTGTACACACATATACATACTTGTTTTTACACTCCCATACACAGCTAAACATGTACAGAAGAAATACACACAGACTTAAACAAAGCTCATAAACAACTAAATATACCTACACAAATATGTATATATTCCTACACACAGGCAGACATGCCTGAATCCTTGCAATCCTGCTGGGAGAGATGGTCTCTCTTCCTTCTTGTTTTTAAAACACATACGGTACATAAAATTATTTGTACACACGGAAAAAGCAGATATGAAGGTGCAGAAAGGGATGTGATGGTGAAGACTGTTTATATTCCTCTCCCAATATGCTGTGTACTTCAAGGGTAGACAAATATGCAACTTGAATGCCTCCCTAGATTATCCTGGGGTGTATTCGCCAAACAGGAAATTGTGGAAAACTTACAAGAGAATTGTAAATTTTAGTTCAAAAGTTTGCCCTAAAATGTACAATTACCTTCTCAAGTTTTCATAATTCCAGATTTAAGTATCATTATTGTCATTTTTTTTAGCGCCAAAATAGTCTGCAGCGCTTTACAAGAGTATAAGGGGGAGGGGGATTTAACAATACAAGATGTTACAGGAACAATAGGTTGATGAGTATCCCGCTCAAAAGAGCTTACAATCTAGATCCGCCTGCACTGTGCACATGTATCAGAGTTAAAATCAGTTTAAATCATCACTTGGGGAGGGGGACTTGGGTTGTGCCAATTTGTATTTTTAGGTTATTTGCAAATAAGTGTTTTTTTTATACTTTTAAAATTTCTTTAAAATGTGCTCTAGTAGACCTTTCACTTTACTGGGGGAGCAAATGACACTCAAACATGTGTTGTTACATCCAAAATCAGTGTGTGAGATAAAACATCCAGAAATATATTAATGTTTCGACTGTCTGTGATTGCTTACCCCTACAAGCGATATCTAAAATTTATGTTTTTCAGTCATTAAAATCAAAAATGTTTATTTCATTTGTTAAAATTTTTTTGTTTAACCCCTTAAGGACACATGACATGTGTGACATGTCATGATCCCCTTTGTTCCAGAAGTTTGGTCCTTAAGGGGTTAAAATGGATGTAGACAACTAACAAATCATAAAAACAGACTTGGTCAGACACCAATCCTTATCTGGAATCGCACTGTTGTGTTTAAACCAGATATCAAAACAGCCAGATCTCATTGGGAGGGGATGTTTGACTACATATCTCAACATTCTGTGTTCGCCAAAACTATCGGGCAAACAACATTTGCGAGGATGTTCACTTGGGATTTATTGGGACATCGCATGAATGGTACTAATTTGGCTGGAATATTAACTTTGGGAAGGGGGATGGGGGGTTATTCTTAGTTTTTGTTGCATTCAGTTTGTTTCATACTTTACTGGTCCCTTGTTTCATTAAAAATCATATTAAAGTTGGGGGGATTGGAGAAGAGTGGGGAAATATTAAAAACAAACAAAAACAACAACCTTGCATCCAGTTTTACCTTCATGTTATTATACTTGGGAGTTTATCATTTATCAATAAATCACTATACTACTATTAGAATGTCAAGCCACTCAGCTTCTTCTAGGCTTTTTGTTGTCATCCTCATCATCGGAGGTTATTCGCCCAATGGCCCAAACATAGCTAGAGCCATTTTACATGCTAGCAGGATGCCAACACCCTCCAGCCCCACAACCCGAATCATAGACAGAACTGATTGGAGTCAGATACTGAATTATTTTGCAGACACTTTGATGGTTTAAAAACACCCGTACGCGCAGTCTGTGCATCCACTACTCACTCCACTAATTTGTGCGCTAAGGAGGGCACTCTCCACACTTCTAGTCAGCTACCCTCTGCTTCCTCCAGCAGGCCTGAACAAAAAGAGATGAGGCACAAGCTAGGGCGGCCTATAGGTTGTTTTTTTTACGCAGAGCCCAAGTTTGCAATAATTTTAATGATGGTAATTGAGGTTTAATTCTCAAGATTCAGATTATTGCATGTGTGCTTCCTCTGATTTATAAATCGGTTATATCCTAAGCACTCACTAACCCCAGTAAAGAGACAGGCTTGCACAGCATCTAGGAGGTCACCAAGCACCCTAGTTAACAGAGTTTTTGGACTGTTCACACTCACCAAAACTTCAGACACAGTCAACTGCCTTAGGATAAAGGACAACTACTTCCTCTTAATCCAACACACAAAAACCAACCAAACTGGTCCCACTACCGAAAACCCATTCCAGACCACCAATAATCGTTGGTGTTCTGTAAGAGTAATGGACCAGTATGTCCCTAGGTTAGTAAATAAACCACCGGACTCTCCCCTACTCAGCTTAAACAGTAACCCACTTACCACCTCCAAATTCATGTTTTACATTAAGACACTCCTTTTGAAATTAGGTTTCAACCCTTCAGCTCTTTCCAGGCATCCATTTAGAACGGGGCGGCTTCTAATCAAAATATTCATGTACATATCATTAAAAAAAAACAAAAAAAACAACTAGGTAGATGGAAGTCATCTGCATCTTTTAGGTACATACCAAAACCAGTTTCTGAACTATGACAAGCCTTTTATGATATTATGTAAAATTGTGTTTTGAATAAACACTATTGCATCTCAATCGACTTATTTTTGCCCTCTTTATTTACAGGCCTACACAAACGTCAATTTCGGCTCAACCCAACCGACTAATGCTATCCAATCAGTTTATTCCTCACTTGTCCCGACCACAAAACTATTAAATATTAGCGTTTTCCCAAACTTTCTGCAGAATTGAAAACCTGCTTCCCCCTCCCCCAAACAGGATAGCTTATTCCAAGACGATTACAATGCTTCAGAAAAGGAAGGACTTATTTTCTTGGTGTAAATGGAATCATCTCTACAGATGAGACACAATATTACAATGAAATATTGTAACAATGATTATTCGCCTAGCTTAGAGTGCATAAATGATTGCTGTACCAGCATCACTGTGGGGTATGACTGGAGATATTGCCTGGCATTGGGTGGTTTACTGTAGTTCTGAAATTCTGTTGGCTAAAGGAAATATGATTTTTTTTTTTTTTTTTAAATAAAGCATAAATAGTGTTCTACATCGGGGGCAACTATTCCTTTCCATTGGTTAAGCATGACAAGAACTACCATCCTATACATCACATCAGGAGTGCCAGAGACTACTCTACATGGTTCGATATGTTGCACGCTTTTTTTGTGTTGTTTTTTTGGGGGTTTTTTTTTTTAACTTTTTCCTTTTGATTGAATTTGAAAATATGTTCCAATCCAAACTAACCTGTACACAGACCTGAACTAACAAAATTATTGCCCTGGCCAGAAGGTAGGCATTTCTATTAAAACTTAACTGGTATTAAAAATGTAACAGACAGACAGACAGACCTACATATTGTATTAATATTAGCGATTTTAAGGGTGTCAATTTGATTTTAGAATGGGATTCAGAAATCTTGGCTGTCAGGAGACAGAACATACCTTCACTCTTTCCAAGGACTATGGTATAACTAGTAGTATGGGTTAAAAAAATAAATATGTTATTCAATAAAAAGAGTAAAAGCATGGCTGATGAAACAGTTAAGGGGCACTTTGAATAAAAAGTAAAAAAAAAAAAAAACCCACAAATAAACAAAACTAAAACCTTGTGTGGAGGGATGACTGGCAATGCACTGTGCTTTAAACCAAAGCCTGGTACGAAATTCTGCAGTTTTATATTGGGCGTCCTTTAAAAAGCGTCAATTAGGCATCATTTAAAAAGCAGCTAAGATTCCAAAGCTGCCAACCAGAGATAATGTGCACATTGTGAGGAATACCTCTACGTGACACACCACTGTCTCTCAGATCCCTATGAAGCAGGCTTCTCCTGGTCTGGGTGGGTAGAGGCTGGTGCATCGGAGCTGCTGCTGGTGGTGCCTATTTGCTTTTCAGCCTCTTTGAACGCCTCCCGCATCAAATCCAGCTCTACTTGCTCCAAGAGCTCAAAATCTTCCCCATCTCCCTCAGGCTCTTGGGATTCTGAGGGCATGAGTCCCTGTGTGGCAGTGGGTGACCCTGGTTCTTGCACGGTAGCAGAGTTGGTTCCCGTCAACATCTCTGCACTCAAAGGATGGATATCACTTTCCAGTCCAAGAGGTAGACCTCTCCCGTTGAAGTGTGTATTGACAAAGTGCAGTGGAGAAGCCAGAGTTGGCAAAAGCTCTTCTGGATTTAAAGTCAACGACTCTGGTTGTAAGCTGTGCAGCTCATCCACTGAGGTTTCTCTTCCATCACTATCATAGGGGCCCAGCCAGGGAAGTGCAACTGTGTGTTCCTTGGAGGGAGGGATGTCTTCAGTCACTGTGCAAGGTTGGTCCAAATCTAAAAATAAAGGGAGGTCAGAGGAAATCCTTGCGCACTTGCTATATAGTAACAATGTAATAAAACAGAGAGGCAAACTATTTGCTGGTGACTATAAATAATGAATGCCGTTTTAGTTAAAAAGATGCTGCACTTGACACCAAAGCAGTTTTATTATTTAGCCCTACTTTAAGTTTGAGAGAACAATTTGTTTAAATAAGTTAAATATGAAGATTTATGGCTTTTTACTAACACAGACTCCTGATTATTAACTGGCCGGTAATGTTACAATGCTTGTGTCTGTATGCACAGGTTATTAGAAGGTGTATTCCTTGTTTCTTACTCACCCTCAGACACATCAGTCAGCTGTGGTGTGGTGGCCCTGGAGACAGAGAATCCTCCACTCTCTAGAATTGAGGCTTCCTCGTCAGACAACTCAGAGTCAGTGATGGAGAGAGCCAAAGCGGTAATTCTCACATCCAGCTGTGGAGATAAATTGCAAGTTATGCTATGTTCACATTGCTTTAAAGCAGACCATTTAGTCTGAAAGGCAACATAACCAGTCTGGCAAATTTCAATGTGTATAAACTGAAAAATGTGACGTGCTATATTTGACCCTGTAACTTTCCAAAACACCATAAAACCTGTACATTTGGATGACTGTTTTACTCGTGAGACATCGCTGAATACAAAAAAAAGTGTATTTTATTGCAGTAACAGCATTATGCTATTCACAGTTAAAATGCAATTCAGAACTAAAATAATAACAATTTCTTAATTTTTCATTCATATTAAATTATGTTTTATATATAAATATTTGATGTGACATAAAATCCCTGTTTCTCCTGAACAAAATGATTTATAATAAAAGGTGGGCGCATTTAATATGAAAGATATGAATTCTGGTTGAACAGACATATAGCGTAAATTCAAAGTTTTGTTTACATTTTGTTTTGATCACAATTTGTACAACTGCCTTTTTTTGTTTTTTTTCTGTGTTCTGTTTTTTCTCTCATTTGTGCTGCTGTGCGATTAATTGGGGGAATGTTCCTTAGTTACACCTGTGTAAGATTTGTATTCCCATATAAGCACACCCCTAACTCACTGAGCTTGCTCACATTGCTTGAAAGCAGACCATTAAGTAGGAGTTAGAAAAGCAGGAGTTTTAAAACAAACAAGGGGTTTAAACTAGCAAGGAAATTGTTTTACTGTTCTATATCTGGGGAATGAGTGTTAGCAAGATTGCTGGTTTGACTCAATGCACATCTTGCTGTGTGTATGCATGCCTGGATGTACCCGTCCAGGGTCCATACCTCTGTGACAGGTGTGTGCGAGTGGCTTCTCTGGAAGCTCAGATTGGAGATCATGAAAAGCAAATGGCAACATTGAGGGAGATCGACAATCTTGAGAGGAGTCTGCTGCTCACTGAGCAGAGAGTTTAGTGGGGACAGGTGGGTGACAGTGGGGCGAGGAAGGAGGGGGGAGGGAAGAGGAAAGGACTTGCTAGTCCTGATTTTGTGCAACCTAGCAGATTTGCCTGTTTGAGTGAAGATGTTGGGAGCATCAGCTCAGGAATAGCTGTACTGCAGGAAGCTGTTCCTTCTTACAGCCGAGGGAAGAGACCCTCTAGTACGGGTGGGGATGAAAATGTAAGGAAGGCTAGACAGATCGTGGTGGTAGGGGACTCTATTATTAGAGCAGATAGGGCAATCTGCCGCTCCGATCGGCTCAACCGGACAGTTTTCTCTCTTCTGGGTGCTCAGGTCCGGCATATTGCTGACAGAGTGGATAGATTACTGGGAGGGGCTGGTCCAGGCCATGACCAAGTAAGAGGAAGATGGAAGGTCCTAGAATGATTTCAGAGAATTAGGTAGCAAACATAAGAAAAGGACCTCCAAGGTGGTATTCTCTGAGATATTACCTGTGCCACGTGCTACAGTGGAAAGGCAGCGGGAGATTAGAGAGGTCAATGCGTGGCTTAAGTCTTGGTGCAGGAAGGAGGGTTTGGGGTTTTTAGAGCACTGGGCCGACTTTGCGATTGGGTACAACCTTTATAGTGGTGATGGATTGCACCTAAACGGGAGAGGGTCTGCAGTGCTGGGGGATAGGATGGCTAGAAGGTTGGAGGAGATTTTAAACTAGTAGTAGGGGAGGAGGGTCATAGCAATCTACAAAATGGAGATAGGACAGAAAGGAGATGAGATTTAGCTCAGTATAAGGGGGCAACCTCAGAACAGAGAGAGTATGTAATGTTGATAACAATTCACAAAAAGTACAAATGACTCATGATAATATTAAAATGTATGCTTAGTAATGCAAGGAGCCTAAATAACAAAGTGGGGGAACTGGAGGCAAAAGCATATACTAAACAATATGATATAATAGGCATAACAGAAACATGGTGGGATGAGACACATGACTGGGCAGTTAACTAAATGGGAACACACTATTTAGGAAGGACAAAAAAAAACAAAAACAGGAAAGGTGGTGGGGTATGTTTGTATGTCAACCATGAGTTGAAGCCAAAACGTAAGCAATTGGAATGTGATGGGAAAAATGTGGAAGCTTTATGGGTAAATATCTGCTTGGGTCAAAAGAAGGGAAATCAACTATTGGTTGGGATATGTTATAAACCACCTAATGTTAATATTGATGAGGAACAACAGCTGATTGAGTAAATTGAGAAAGCTTCAAATCTGGGTAACATGTTAATTATTGAAGATTTTAATTACCCAGACATAAATTGGGACAGAGGGACTAGAAGTTCAGAAAGGGGAATCAGGTTTTTGAACTTGTTAAATGACACCTTCATGTCACAACTGGTACAAGCACCAACTAGAATGGATGCTTGTCTGGACCTGGTTCTAACAAACAACGTTGATCTTTTGACCAACATTCAAGTAGGTGAGCACTTGGGAATTAGTGATCACAGTATAGTGTCCTTTGAAATAAACTCAAAAAAAACAAAAGCACATGGGGTAAACTAAAACATATAATTTTAAAAAGGACAATTTCTGTAAGTTAAGGGCAGCTTTACAATATATTGACTGACATACACTTTTTAGTGAAAAGAACACTGAGGATAAATGGAACATCTTACAACAAATATTATATAGGTACATTTCTCAGTATGTACCATTTGGTAATAAATATAAAAAGCAATTTGAAACCAATGTGGCTTAGTGGGCATGTGAAATCGAGAAATTAAAAATAAGAAAAGAGCATTCAAAGCCTTTAAATCTGAAAAATCAGAGGCATCATATAAAAGATATAAGGAAGCCAATAATGCGTGCAAAAAGGCGATTAGATTTGTTAAAATTCAAGATTGGAAAAAATGATAGCCAAAGAGCGCAAAACCAACCCCAAAGCATTTTTTAAGTACATAAATTCTAAAACAACAAAAAAATGAAAGTGTAGGTACACTAAAAACTGGGATGGGGGGTGGGGGGTGGCGTTAATGAAGACCAGGAAAAGGCAGACATTTTAAATAACTATTTCTCCTCTGTATATATTAAGGAAGAACCCATGGCAATAAATGTGCAAATGATTGCTGCTAAAAACTTGCAGAAAAATTGTAATTGGCTAACTCACGACAAGGTGCTGCAGCAACTAAATAAAAGTTAATATAAACAAAGCTCCAGGGCCTGGCGGTATTCATCCACGAGTACTTAAGGAACTAAGTGTAGAAATAAGTGAACCTCTGTTTTTAATCTTTCATGATTCTTTTCTTTCAGGAAGTGTTCTGGAGAATTGGAGGAAGGCAGATGTGGTTCCTATATTCAAAAAAGGGTCAATTTTTGTAAATGATCTTGGAAAAAAAGCCATTGAAAGTCATGTTTCAGTGTTTGCAGATGACCAGGGCCGTCTTTAATGCAGGGCAAACGGGGCAGCTGCCCCGGGCCCTGTCCCAGCTCCTTTTGCCTTTTGCCCTCTGCCCGCAAACTATGGGGGCCCATCGGGTGGCCCATGCATTTAGGGCCACCCGGTGGGCCTGTGTCAGCAGGGGCCCGGTCGGGCCTTGCTTTTCGGCAGCACTGGGAGGAAGTGACAGGAAGGAGCTGTTCCGGAGGGGGCCAGGCCGGGAGAACTTAACTCCCAGCCACCCCACTGGACCCCAGGGAAGCCACCCTCCAGGAAAAGGTAAGAAACTGGAGGGTGGTTATCAAGTTTTGCATGAGTGTCTGTGTGTGAGTATGTATGTATGTATGTCTGTCTGTGTGTCAGTATGTCTGTGTCTGTCAGTGTATGTGTGGTTCTGTATGTCTGTGTTTGTCAATATGTCTGTCAGTGTCTGTGTGCATGTGTGTTTCAGGATGTCCGTCTGTGTGTATATGTGCCAGTATGTCTGTCAGTGTGTCAGTATGTCTGTGTGTGTGTGAGTCGGTCAGTGTCTGTGTGGTTCAGTATGTATGTGTGTATGTGTGTTTCAGTATGGTTGTCTGTGAGTGTCAAAATGTCTGTATGTGTGTACGTCTGTCAGTGTCTGTGTGTATGTGTGTTTCAGTATGTCTGTCTGTGTGTATGTGTGCCATAATGTCTGTATGTCTGTCAGTGTGTCAGTATGTCTATGTGTGAGTCTGTCAGTGTCCATGTGGTTCTGTATGTCTGTGTGTATGTGTGTTTCAGTATGGCTGTCTGTGTGTGTCTCTGTGTCAGTACGTCTGTCAGAATGTGCCTTTGTATCTGTATGTTGTCCGTTTGTGTTTGTGTATGTATCTATATATAGTCAGTGTGTATCTGTATGTGTCCGTGTTTGTATATGTATATCTGCATGTGTGTCAGGTTGTGTATCTGTGTGTCTGTGTATCTATATGTAGTCAGTGTGTGTACCTTTGTATCTGCATGTATCAGTGTATGTATCTGTGTATCTGCATGTTTGTCAGGTTGTGTATCTGTGTTTGTGTCTGTGTGTCAGTGTTCTATATGTAGTCTGTGTGTATCTGTATGTTCTTGTGTGTATCTATATGCGGTCAGTGTGTATCTGCATGTGTGTCAGGTTTTGTATTTGTGTGTATCTATATGTAGTCAGGGGGCCCAAGTTAATGCTTGCCCAGGGTCCAATCAGAATTAAAGACTGCCCTGCAGATGACATAAAACTCTGTAAAGTAATACAATGTGAGGAAGATATTACCTTGCTGCAGAGGGATTTAGATAGACTTGGGGACTCGGCACTCAAATGGCAGATGAAATGTAATGTTGAAAAATACCAAGTTATGCACTTCAGCATAAAGAATGCACAAGCAATTTATATCCTTAACGGAAGCGAATTAGGGAGAACAACACACGAAAAGGACTTGGGAATTGTTATAGACAACAAACTATGCAACAATGTGCAATGTCAATCACTGGTGGCTAAGGCCAGTAAGGTATTGTCATGCATGAAAAAGGGCATTTATTCTCAGGACGAGAATATCATTTTGTCTCTTTATAAATCACTGGTAAGACCACATATTGAATATGCTGAGCAATGTTGGGCACCAGATGGAATTTACAGCACTAGAAAAAGTGCAGAGGCGGGCTACAAAATTTATAAAAGGAATGGAATATTTCAGCTATGAAAAAAGGTTAACAAATTTAAACCTCTTTAATTTAGAAAAACATCGCTTCAGAGGGGATATGATAATATTATACAAATATATCCGGGGCCAATACAAACCACTGTGTGGAAATCTATTCAGAAACCGAACTTTACATAGGACACGTATTCCTGCATTTAGGCTGGAAGAAAGAAGATTTTCTCTAAGGCAGTGATGGCTAACCTTGACACCATAAATTGTTTCTGGACTACATTTCCCATGATGCTTATCTAGCTTTTAGAGTCTAAAAGCTAGCTGAGCATCATGTGAAATGTAGCCCAGAAACAATTTATGGTGTCAAGGTTAGCCATCACTGGTCTAAGGCAAAGAACTTTTTTTTAACTGTAAGAACAATAAGGATGTGGAATTCTCTGCCTGAAGAAGTGGTTTTATCAGAGTCCATACAGATGTTCAAACAGCTACTAGATGCATACTTGCAAAACCGGAATATTCAAGGATATAATCTTTCAATGTAGGGTAATAGCTTCTTCAGCCAAGGATAAATCTGACTGCCATTCTGGGGTCAATAAGGATTTTCTTTTCCCTAGTTTGTTCCTACACTCTGTCCACCATCACATGGGAGAGGTAATATAATACAGTGTATTTCCATCAATTATGTCATGTCGGTTTGACCCTGCAGTGCACAATATGTCCTTTTTTAAGAAGGTGCCTACACCTGTTCTATACTATTTTTCCCCACTCAAACAATTTAGCATTTTAAATAAATATAGTAGAGTATGGTGGGTTTGGGGGTTACAATATCCAACAAATTAACAAATATTTATGCTGTGATAAAAAACAAACAAAATTAACAACAAGTAATTAAATAATATTCACACTATAATTATCATGGCCAGTTTCAGATAACGTGTATAAAAGGAAAATGAAACCGTTCCACTGGGTTTAAGTAGAGGCCTCCCATTAAGTATAAGTAAAGAATACCAGCCAGTACACTTTAAAAAACAACTGATCTATATTCTGCAGAGTGAGTTCTCTGAATATGATTTTCCTGCCCATCTAACAATATTAATTCTGGGATAGATCGATACAGCAAAGGAAATGATTAAATCATTTGTTGGGTATATTGTAAAATGGTTAATATTTTGTACATGTGGCATAAAAATAAGATTTGATCAGTTATACAAATTATCTGTCCATTATTCTGTTCGTTAGAGAAAACGAATGCTCTGCTGTATTGAAGTGTGAGAGTGAGTGGATGTTCGGATCAACATCAGAGTGGAAGGAAAAAACTAAACAAAACATTTTCAAAGCCAATAAGCTTACTCTATGAGAGCAAAACGGATTTAATATTGAAGTTTATTCAGATAATCGCAGTTCCCCTATTTCTCATAATTTCTCCCCCCAACTGCTACAATACCAGAGCAGCCCCTTCTGTGTGACTCTCACACACCCCAACATAAAATGCTACAAAAAAATGCTACAATAAATGCATGTATTGAAATCACCTTAGGAGAGAATCCAGAAAGTTCAATCTCGCTTTCACTGTCCGTCTCTGCCACCAATTGCTCTCCTTCTTCAGGTTCCTTCTTTGCTTGTCGTTCTTAGAGAGAATAAAAGCAGCCTCTTGTTATCCAATACTTTTACTTCTAAATCATTGATAAAAACTGGTAAAACCAAGTTGGATATACTGGGATAGTTATAGCTTTCTATCCCAATCCCAGATCTAACAGGGGGTAATGTCTATGGCAAACTTAAACATTATATATATGGAATATTTGGTTTTTGGTACCCACGGAATATAGTGGGGTCATATAAACAACAACAACGATGAGTGTGGTTCATTAGCCAGGCCAGGATGGACAAATGTATCATAGTTCCCATTTTGTAGACCAGCGAACTGTTTAAATTATTAATAAAATAAATTGGTGAGGGCACACTAAAATACATGCATATTACCATCCATGAATACATAAATCAGTACTGGATGGCAATACGCATGTATTTTAGTGTGCCCTCACCAATTTATTTTTGATTTTATTATATTGCACTTATATGTGGTGAAGTGACCCGAATAGGTGATTGTAGCACCTTCTATAGTTTTAACCAAAACCTTACACTTCTGAGTTTTACTGTTTAAACTATTAAGTTGTGTATCACTTTATGGTGAGTGTTACTGGATTGTATACACTTTGTTTGTTTAGACGTTTCTGCACATTTGTAGATATTGATTTTTGGATTCTGAACACCTGCCATTTTTTGGCTGTTGGTTTAAAATTCTCACTTACTTTTGTGTGAACGTGGCAGCCGTTCTCCCTTCATGCTGTAGTCAAGCTTCATAAGAACTGGCTCCAGTGCTGTGTACATTCTTTGGATCAGCTCTCGATACACCACCAGGGGCCACAGGAGGACACTAAGAACTGCCGTGATAAACAAGTAGGACACGGAGTGTTATCAGGGAGTGAATTTACAGATCCCTTAACACACATTTTCTTGCAATGATTTCATACTCACGTATTATATAGCAGATCATAATGCCTGGAATATAATACCCAAGGACTGTCAGCACGGCACAGCCCGAGCACACCATGGCACAGAACTAAAGAAGGAAGAGGTAAGATATTAAATAACTGCTAATTTCCGAAGTGATCATCTGTGGCATTTTTCTCTAAACCGTGAGTTGCAGGAAGCTGAAAGTCACATTTCTAAACTTAGGGAAAAATATAGATAAATAGCCAAAATGGAGAACCTTTGCTAACTTGGATGTTTAGGCCCAAGTTTAGTCACAAAAACTCATTGTTAACCAACTGATGGGTAAAACCTGCTCTTTACAGTGTAAAAGAACAATGGAGGTTGTGTATAAAAATGCAGTTTTCTGAAAAGTGGTATAAAAGTAGTAAAAGAGGCACAGTCACCATGGAAACCAGCATGTAAATTGCATTGGTGACGCCACCTCCTTTCCATGTTGGCGACACTTATCAGAATACTTATTATACATAACCGCCAATGAGAAAAACATGCGTTCTGCTCAAATCTTCCCAAACTGACAGCCTGTAATAAAAATGTCTATATTACCTATTCTTTATATTAGAAGAATAGAAAAAGGCATGCAAATAATAAAGATTTCTCTATCTGTATAAATATTATGTGAATTATTAGATCAGTAAAAAAGGTAGTTTTCATGAGTTAGCGAGAGACATGGGGAAAAGGGAAACGGTGGTGGGGATTTAAGTGTCTCAAGGGTGTCTATATGATTAAGGAACCGTGTCTATTTTGTAAATTACAACATTAAATAAAACCTTTAACTAATTAATTAATATAATATGATGCTCTGTTTAATTAAATGTATATTAAAGATTTAGCAATTAACATCACAATTCAGTTCAGTCCTGGGGAGGAGACTTATCGAAGTGTTCTGAAGAGTGCCTTATTTTTGGTCTCTAGTTTGTATTTATTAAATGGTTCGAAATTGGTCTAAAATGTGCCAGCTTTTCCCTGCTTAAATATCCATTTCAGAAAAGGCCAGAAAACTTAGAGAGCAGAAAAAGAACGCAAAACATTATGCAACACTGATAAATCTCCCTCATCTGTTTCTTTTTACTCACTTGCTATGTTGAAAGACAAGATAGTTCTGCTCAAGGACAGAGTGACATATTTGCTACAGTTAATGTTAATTTTTCAGACATCACATATTTGTTAAATCTTAGGGATAAGTATTAAGAATCCTAACAAGTGAAAGTTCGGTATGATGAATCTTTGATTTATGAGAAATAAACTTGCAACACAAGGAATTAATAAACGCTGAGTTGGGACAAACTGAAAACCTATACTTAGGGAAAATGTTTGGACATATTCTCTCTTAGCTTGTATTTTGCAGCTAGCTTTCCAATTCCCCACTCGTTAAATAAACAATTGGGACAAGTTCATTCTCTGCCTTTTCCCTATGGCCAGAAAACAAGGTGGAAAAAGTTTTGGGGGAGAAAAGTAAAATTCGGAGCACGTAGCCATAATAGTAACACTGTAACAGGTTCCTACTCACCCTGCCTGGGTTTTGCTTTTTGTATTGCAGGATTTCCTGAATGTACTGGCGAAAGGTGAACCAGCTCTCGGCCAAATAGTGGCACAGCTCTGAGACACTTAGCATGCGGTCCGGTCCTCCTGCGGTCATGGTTTCACTAAAATAAAACACAAAACCGACTGAGCACATGGTTTACATGACATTTTCCACAGTGCCATACAATAAAGGCAATAAATGATCTGAAGACCCTGCCCGTGAGCTGACAATCTAGCATTTACACACTTAGAATTACACATTTTTGGTCATAATCAAGCTTCTTCAGCCTACAATTTGCAATTATTTTGTCATTTCTGTGTTTAGTAAAAACCGGTGTTGGAACTTACAAATTGTAGGACTAGTTGAATTGAAGCTTTTTTTTTTTTTTCAGTTCTGTTATTTTGACCTGAATTGTGTAATTCCTTTGTAAGGTTCCACAACTCTTCATTAAAACAATCAAGTTAAATATGAATAAAATTGCTGATGGCAACACCTCCCCCCACCCATATAATATAAACCTGGAAAAACAATAAAATGAAATAATGACACACAATTGGCCAACCCCTCTCCATTACTTGGCAGGAAAAGAATAAAACACACACTTATAATTAACACAAGTGTAAATAAGCGTTGCTCTGTTTTAAGAGCACACTTAATCTGGGAGGTTTCCAGACTTGAAAAGGGATTCTGAGCATCAGGTCATCATGAACTGTGACCAGCACTATTGTTGGAAGCCGTTGTATCCTGCCAGAGGGTTGGTGTGATAACAGCAGATCCCTAGATGACTAAGCAATCATTTGCAACATTGATTTGAGATAATTAATGAGTTCTAAATGGGCTGCAGTGGCCTGAGCAGGGCGTATGACATGGAGTCTCTTACCTTTCACTTGAAGGATCCACCCGGGGTGTTGCTGTTCAAAGAGAAGAGGAGAAGTTATAGTATATAGTAAACATAAGTTGATTTCTGACGACAAAAGAATTAAGCCTTAATCTAGAAATAAGATATGTTATTTTACATTGTCTATATATTAACATACCTATAAAGAAATACTTACTTTAGCACGATTGTGCGTAACAGAACAAAACAGTAAGCGGTGATAAATAGAACATACTGCAACTATTTTATGTTTTTTTGCAACTTGGTACACATCCCCACAATTCTGTAATCGCTCCAAGCAGTATCTTAACTCGAGGATTCTGGGTAGGCAAAGGGTGTAAAATTCCCTCTAACTCGTCTTACATAACAAGCTTTAAGTAAATGATTATTTCAAAACACAATGACCACTTCAGCTAGGTGCATTACTATGAAATATACTGCACATGCAGAGAAACAGGCCTTTGCTGTAGGAGGTGTAACTCCACCTCTAGCGGCGTGATTAGCCAGCTTAGAAGTCTTGGTAACATCAATACTACTACTTTGTCTTATGTATTTTTCCCTATGCTTGACTTTCTTTGACTCAAAGAAAAGCTTAAAGGGACACTATAGTCACCTGAACAACTTTAGCTTAATGAAGCAGCCTCACTGCTCAATCCTCTGCCATTTAAATCCCTTTATGAACCCAAGTCACACCTCCCTGCATGTGACTTGCACAGCCTTCCATAAACACTTCCTGTAAAGAGAGCCCTATTTAGGCTTTCTTTATTGCAAGTTCTGTTTCATTAAGATTTTATCCCCTGCTAGACCCTGCAAGAGCCTCCCGTATGTGATTAAAGTTCAATTTAGAGATTGAGATACAATTATTTAAGGTAAATTACATCTGTATGAAAGTGAAACCAGTTTTTTTTCCATGCAGGCTCTGTCAATCATAGCCAGGGGAGGTGTGGCTAGGGCTGCATAAACAGAAACAAAGTGATTTAACTCCTAAATGACAGTGAATTGAGCAGTGAAATTGCAGGGGAATGATCTATACACTAAAACTGCTTTATTTAGCTAAAGTAATTTAGGTGACTATAGGTGTTCCTTTAAGTCTGTTCCGTTTACTGTGTCAGAAAAAATACTCACCCTTCTCCTTGACACAAAGAAAGTGTAGTAAAATGACGTAAGACAAAGTAGTCCCTACTTCACCTTATATTTTAAAGAAAACTAGAAATAAAGAAAAGAAGAACAGATTCTGAGAGAGGAAAAGAAGAGGGTGACTGACTGACTGTGTTCACAAGATTTATCAATGTCTGGATTCTGCAACACCGATACGGATTTACCTTGAATGTAGTATGTTCCTTTTAACCTGCCCATATAAAACCACATTTTCTAAAATACAGAAATATGTAACCACGTGCTCAGATTGATAGTTACATAGCAATCTGCGTTTAAAAAAAAAAAAAAAGAAAGACTCAGCTCCATCAAGTTTAACCTCTACAACAGAATTGGCCACTATCTGCCCGCACACTTGTTTGAACTACATTTGCAGGCAGATAGGGGACAATTCTAATATTTCAGACCCTGTATGAGTTTCATAAATAATGTTATTGAATGCTACGTGTTTGAATAATGTATTTTAGGAAGCTACATTCTCTCTGGTTTGTCAAGTGCTGGTACAAAGCTACATGGAAAACTACATGGAAAACTGAAGTTTTTTGTTTAAGGAGTATTACCTTTAAACCGAGCAAGTAGTGATGCCTTACAGCGGTCTATACCCAGCAGACACAAGAGAACCAAACTGAGCAAGAAGAAAGGCCTCGGAGTCAAGTATGAGAAGAGCCTGTGGACAAATATTAATCACCATTATCACTTCATATGCAGTCCAATATTCCCAATTATAGGGACATTATTTAAATTAGTTTATTCCAAGCAATATTGAAAATGAGGAGGAGAAAAAGAAATAGTTTAATATCTTCTCTGTATTTATCTTTATGCTAAGTGCAAAGGACATAACTATACACATATACACATATACACACACACACACACACACACACACACACACATCTATATATAAAATTATAACAATGACAGGAAGCCAAGAGGGAGGTGCCCAGTTGCATGACATAGAGGTCTGAATTTGTAAATGTAATTTTATTTTTCACTTGCTAAAAGAATAAAAACAAAACAAAAAAAAAAAACATATAATTAAAATATTAAAAAGCTTAGGAAGAGACAATATCCCTTTAAGCGATACAGCTGTATAACTACAATCTTAATGCTGACAATGCAAGTTGTCATTTTTACAAATGGGCGTTACCGATAGCAATCCCTACTGAAATTGTACCCAAACAAGTTAGATACAATTTCTTGTAACAGCACAAAAAGAATGTGAATAGGAGACTCAAATAAACTTTGCAGTCAGATTGCAACAGTGCAGTCTGAGAGCTATTATCAGGAGTAAAGAATCATTTTTGTGATATTGTTGCCTGTAAAGTTTTATATAAACAGAGATGTTAGTACTATGGCATTTCTTTAGTAAGAATAAAATGCCATCTAAATTTTCAGCTAGCCAGATTGCTTTCATATAAACAGATTGAATGTTCTTCCTAGACTTTGTAACCTTTATTTCTGTCAATGGCATTGATGTAAAAAATGGCAACACAAACAATTCTAACTGTGGAAACCTTGTACTAAACCTATATCCATATGAAGATTGTTTTTACAATAATAAACTGTATAATAAACTATTTTTCAGTATTTTTGTAAAATGTATTAATCATTTTGGTACTTGTCTTTTAAACCCCCACCACTGTGTTCCCATCAACAGGACAGAATGACCTTCTACTGTGTTTGGGGCAGAAAGGAACACAGTGGCCGTACAGACAAGTACCCATAATTCTTCTCAAGATTATTCATTTATTTGAAAAAAAACCCAAAAAAACAGGGAATGTGAGAGAGTAAATTATCACATCTGAAGTAACATCTTTAGAATCTCACCAAAAGGTCCCATGAACAGCAGCTGCGGTCAGAAGACTGGGCAGTGGTCTCTCCCACACCAAAAGCCGCTGTCCGGCGGTGAGCACGGGTCCCCATTCTTGCAGTCTAAGGAGCAGGTTGGCTTCCAGCATTTTCATGTCCTCTTCTGAGGCTCCAGGAACCCGGCCACTTTTCTCTTCATTCAGTAATTGCTCCCCTGAAGGCCAGGGTGCAACGTCTTCCCTCTGCATCTTTTTATCCTCTGAGACATCACCAGTAATGGCAGCCATGGCCGGCCCAGATGTGCGGTTCAGATTTTCCTCAGCACAACCTTTTTTCCCAGTTCTAATAAACTTCCAGAAATTAAATGTAACAACGTTCCTCCTGAGTCTCTCCACAACATTCCCCTTTATCTCAAACCTCCCTCACTGCTGCGTCTCAACGGATTTCAAGCTTTCTTAAGCCTTTTCTTTTGCAGTAATTAAAAACAGTTCTCACACCTCCTTTATCCTAAACATAACAATAAGCACAACAAAGCACTCTGCTCCCTTTCCTCTTCCAGTGTCCTACTTATACCAAAATGACCACTACTTTGGCAATACTAGATGTAAAGTTCTACAAACTCCGCATGCGCGGTTTTAAACCTTAATTCAAATAAACACATCCTTACTTTTAGGCTATATTCTTACCATGTCTCAAAATTCTATACAGGATTTACTCTTCAGCAGGGTCTATAATCTCTAGCCAATCACAAATTTATGTTCCCTCTGAGCAGTTTGCAAACAGGTTCTACCACATCAACAGTCAGTCTTTGAATACACCGCTAATAATTAGCAGTTGCTTAATTTGTCCACACCTATCTCCTATACCACGTAAAACACTCTTTGTTGCTACTGGAAACCCACCATTTCCTTTTCTATAAGTCTGACCCCTGGTTCATTTCTCCCAGAATTTGATTTGTGTCCTGCCCCTGTGTTTTCTCTGACCTGGGGGTATATCTTTATGGATGTCCCTCAGACATGGATTTCACTTTGTAATCTTTTCTAGCCCCCTGATTTAACTGGTCTTGGTTTGATTTTACATGCACTCTCCCCTAGGTAACTCTCTCTGTGCCCCTGTCATGTGGTATATCTCACTTTTTCTCCCACCTAGGATGTCTGTCTCTGAGTCTCTCACCCGTGGTATCTCTCTCTATGTACCCATACCCTGTGATAAATATCTCTCTCTGGGTATCTCTCTCTCTTTCTCCCTGTTCTGGGTATCTCTGCCCTGTGTCTCCGCCCTGGTTCTCTCTCTCTCTCTGGGTATCTCTGTCTGTCTCTGCCCTGGGTATCTCTCTCTCTCCCTGCTGTCACTGTCTCTCTCTCTCTCTCCCTGCTATCACTGTCTCTCTCTCTCTCCCTGCTGTCACTGTCTCTCTCTCTCTCCCTGCTGTCTCTCCCTGCTGTCACTGGCTCTCTCTCCCTCCTGTCACTGTCTCTCTCTGTCTCTCCCTGCTGCCTCTCTCTCCTGTGACTGTCTCTCTCTCCCTGCTGTCTCTCTCTCTCCCTCCTGTGACTGTCTCTCTCTCCCTGCTGTCTCTCTCTCTCCCTCCTGTGACTGTCTCTCTCTCCCTGCTGTCTCTCTCTCTCCCTGCTGTCTCTCTCTCTCCCTGCTGTGACTGTCTCTGTCCCTTACCTGGTATATGTACTTTGCTGTCTCAGAGAGCTACGAGCCCCCCAGCCCGCGGTATCCCCCCTCAGCTCCCGGTATTGAGCAGCTCCGGGGTGATGATGTTGTTGTTATGGTGCTGCGTCAGCTGAGCGGCGATGACGTATGCCCCCGGAAGTGCTATGGCTGCTGGCTGGAGGCGGGTGAGGAGCGCCTCATACATGGGATACAGGCTCTCTGACACAATCCCGGCTTTATGGCTCTAGTCAGGCTCTCCCCAAAGGTTCCCGATTTATCAATCTGCGCTTAATGCAGAATAAGGGAAACCTGCCCTTACTCAAAATGGCCGCAAAGGAAGTCACGTCACTTCCGGGCGGATGGAGCACTCGTGCGTGAATAGCACGTTGCGTGCCCTGCGTAATAAAGGGATGGGGAGGTATAGCTGCCTCCATCTTTGTCACTGGCAGTAAACTTGAAGGGTGTTTCAGATTATTCCAGTAATATTTGGTGCATGACTCAAATAATGTGTGAAATAGTGTCCACTAGGTGCATTATAGGAAATATTACATAATAAATAAATAGGACATTCTGGAGAATTGCAAATTTTAGGTCAAAACATTTTCCTAATCTGCAAGTTTTCCAGCCTGGATAATCAGATTGTAAATTTGTAATTCCGTCCATACTGAGGATTCCCCAACTATCCAAGCACCATAACCACTACAGCGCAGAGTTATGGTTATGGTGCTCGGAGGGCCCTGGCCTGTCCCCACTGTAATGATGTCCGACTTCTTACCTATGGTCCTCTCCCGGCTTTCACTACCAACACTGGAGAGCCATAATTTCTTAAAGCGACACTGTCACCCCCCCTGCCAGCCCCCATCCCCACATCTGTGAAAAAATATTATTTCATACGGATAAAACTGACACTACTAGACACTGGGCAGAACTACCACCATCTAGATGTGTCAATCCTCCAAGCAGAGAATTGGCTTCATCTATGGAGGATCTTGTGGGATTCCCTCGTAGACTTCAATGCTGTACTCTTGCGCATGCAGAAAAATACAGCAGTAATGTCTTCACCTGGCGCTGAGGCTCCAGTAGCTAAAGAGGACTCGCCGTATTGTCCTGTATTCAGTGAGACAGTCAAGATATGTCACCTGTGTCCTGCTTCTCTGTAACACCAAAAAAAAAGAAATACAGAAAAGCATACGTTTGGCAAGAGGACGTTCAGGCAAGATGATTTGATTATTTCTGAACATCCACAGTCTGGCCGGCTGTCTGCACTTAAAGGGATACTATAGGCACCAGACCACATCAGCTCATTGAAGTGGTCTGGGTGCAGTGCCCCTATTGCACTTAGTGCTGCAGTGCTAAACATTGCACTTCCAGAGAAACTGCAATGTTTACATTGCATCACTAAGTCTGCCCTCAGTGGCTGTCTACCAGAGAGCCACTGGAGGCACTTCCTGCATCCAAACGGACCTTTGGTCTGTTAACTGATGCTGGACGGCCTCACGCAAGACAGAGGAGGAGGCAGGTCAGAGGAGGAGGCTGAGCCACAATCTAGCTACGAGGGACTGGGCTTTTAGCTCTTTATTGACCACTACAGTGGGGCGCGAGGTAGGGGGATACAGAGAGAGCTATAGTGCCAGGAATACATCTTTGTATTTCTGGCAACTATAGTATCCCTTTAATGAAAAGAGGTAACTGTCTGTGTATGTATGTCCCTGACACTGTCTGCCTGTAACTGTGTGTGTGTGTGACTGTCTGCCTATAATTTTGTGAGTGAGGCTGTCTCTGTGTGTGTGCGCATGTGTCGAAACGTTGCTGGGTCAACTTAATGGTGGAATAAATCTTCATTTGGTTATGTTGTAGTACTTGTCAGAGTATTTATATCGGCAGACATTTTGTGCTATGATAGAAACTAAAAGTGTATATTCTGAGTCACTCTGAACAGATCAGACTCCATTTTGTTATTCCAAGTTAACAAAGAGACACTATATTTCTATCTGTAAGCTAACCACTTTCCCAGAGCTGAGGAATGCATAGTATAAACAAGTGATAAGGAAGGGGGTTGGACAGACTGTCTAATGCTAAAAGAATATAATCAAATCTAAACCCAGACAATTGTGACAGAGAAGATTAAATAATAAAATTTAACTGTCTATATATATAAGGTACCATTGTATGGAAAAGGGTAAACTTAGTTCATGATCTGCCATATCAGAAAAAAACTCAGATTTGCAGACACATAGTCTGGACAAAATTTAAGAACCCTTTGATCTTTGAAGGATACGTAAGTTATAGCCACTATCTAGATAGGCCAAAATGACGTCAAAATAGCCACCAGGAAAAGTTAACTCTTTCCTGGATAGGTATGTTTAGTGGGACAAGACTGCCCTCTACAGACCAAATAACTAATTTGCGATCTGGAAGATAACCACACCTCTAGTGCTTCTATTGGGTTATCAACTGATGACGTACAGAGAGTCTGGCCCTTTAAAAGTTAAGACAAAGGGAAGATAGAGATATACGAAAGAAGAAGGCAGATGCAAGATATGCAAAGGAGAGGAGAGAGGAATTGGAAGTTTGGGGACTCCAACTCGGACAACATCTGAGACTAACACTCTACTCCTAAAACTCTAACACTTAGAATTTACTGACTTTCTAACCAACACCTCCATGCAGAGAGACTACCAATCGGATGAAATATCTACTCAACTGGTAATTATACTGGTTTCATTTAATTAAATTAAATTAATTAAATGTATTAATGGCATTATATATGACTGGATAAAGCACGGTCAGATTTCCATATTAAGAAATCTTAGTTAACTAAGAATATATAGTTATAAACATTCCATTCTGCAGGTGGAATTAAGAATAATTATATATTGATGTGATATTATCACGTGTTAGCATACCGCTGTTTTTATCCAGGTGTATTGATTTGCTCTAAATTAAGATAGATATCTTTTAGACAAATTAAAAATCTGCTTATATAATGGTAAATTCTCTTATTGGATGATTTTAAGAAAATGACTAATGAACTGGTTTAAATGTTATTTTATTTAAAAATTACATAAGAATAGATCTTAACTACCTAGGAGATCTAGCCAGCATTGAAATGGTTATTCTAACTGTCGGCTAAACTTTACGACCTCACGCTGCACTCTGAGGAATTCTGTTCTTCGCTGTGAAAAGTTTCACTTAAGTCTGTGTAAGGATACCTCATAAATCGTCAGAATTCTTGACAGAAAATGCTAGTTAGCCATTGAAACGTAATACCCATTCCTTTGTATTGCATACCATTTTATACTGGATATTCATTGATTATTGTCATGCATGTTACATAATATTATTTGTTAATTATTGGTTATCATAAATAAAATCTATTTTTATACATTGTGATTATTTATATGAAATACTTTCCACTTAACACGATAAACGTTCTTTGGGATCTGAGAATTGAATTAGTGGGCAATTCTCAACTGTTTACTATTATTATCCCATAAATATCCCCACATACTGCAGCTCCATGTATTTATTTATTTTACTTTGTGAAGGTGTTTGGAGAGTTACCTTGGAAGCCTTTACCTATACCATACATGAAGAGTGCTGAATCTCCAACATACAGTGTGTGTGTGTGTTTGTGTGTGTGTGTGTGACTGTCTGCCTGCCTATTACTGTGTGTGTGACTGTGTGTAACTGTGTGTGTGCATGTGAGAGAGACTGTCTGCTTGTAACTGTGTTTATGGCTATGTGTGTGTGAATGTCTGCCTGTAACTGTGTGTGTATGTGTGTGAGACTACCTGTAACTGTGAGTGTGTAACTATCTGCCTGTAACTGTGTTTGTAACTGCCTGTGACTGTGTGTGTGATTGTGTGTAACTGAGTGTGTGTGCGTGTGAGAAAGACTGTCTGCTTGTAACTGTGTTTATGGCTGTGTGTGTGACTGTCTGTCTGTAACTTTGTATGTGTAACTGTCTGCCTGTAACTGTGTTTGTAACTGCCCATGACTGTGTGTATGACTATCTGCCTGTGACTGTATGTGGCTACCTGTAACTGTGTGTGCAACTTTCTGCCTGTAACTGTGTGTGTGATTGTGTGCGAGTGACTATGTGCCTAAGATTGTATGCAGTATACGTGCACAACAGGTTAACATTCACTCTTCACTAAAAAAAAACACAACCAGCACAATCACAGTGTGAAGAACGACAGCCACCCACCACCTTAGATGCAATTCATACACCATGGGTGAAGTGGTGGATCTGTGGTTCTTTTACTGTAATCCTAATGAAGAAATAAAGTGTTTTTTTAACGTTTATTCAAGGTATATATAGCTGTATTTGTTAAGCTGCACTTTGAATGCTATTGGTATACTCCCTGCTGACTACAGACGCTGTGCTGCAAGGTTTTGCTTTGAGTGATTTATTGAAGCCCAGTTGGACATGTCTAAACCCTGTTGCAGATTGATTTGTATGGATCTGCAGCACTGAACGTGTGCTTCATAGATGATTTATAACTGTTCAACAACTTGAGTATCACATCAAGATCCTTCCCCGTTTGTAGGGGGAAGTCTGGTCCATTGGAGCAAGTGGGGCGATGCTCCCCAGTATTTGTTGCAATAAAAAGTGTGTTGGTTCTGTAAGTACAAATAATGCGTGTGTATTAGAACATGATGTGGCTGTCATGATTAGTTCTGCAGTTTCCTTTCCCCCACTCCCTTTTCGATGGTTGGCAATGTTGCTGACTGTCTGAGTAACTAATCGCTTTGAGATTTTGGTATATATTTTTTTTTATTTAATATTTTTTTTTTTAAACGTAAAACTGACTACCTACAAAATATACAAAAATACATTTGAACTTTAATTTGGCAGAACCTCTAACATTAAGGACATCAAAATATTTGGATACAACACGTATGCATTTGTTCCAGCTCATAAAAGGTCCCCATTTGACAATAGATTTTACAAAGACTACATTGTGTAGCCAGAAAGTTATCTCATGTTACATACATAGTAGTCCATAGAGTTCAACCTTATGTGTTGATATCAATTAAAGTCTACATTACCTACTTGAAGTGTTCGGATCCCTTTATCTTATTTGGATTATTTGGATTTAAATGAGGGCAAATGAGGGACCCTTTAATTTTAGGAGTGTGAGTAGGGATGTGGCCAGGGACAGGGCTGTTCTGAGAAATTCTAGGTGACTTACTAATAACAATGTATACAGCTAAAATGTAATTTAGAACAAGAACAATGTATCTTATTTACACAGACTGATTTCAAAAATACATTTATTGGAGTTCAAAGACACATTACTGTGAGTACTATTACTGTGGAGCTCTGTTATACAATCAGA